CATAAGAGCTCCCCTCAACAGGGTGAAGCACATGGCAATCACTGCCTAGGAGGTTAACACACCTGATTGCTACCAGTTTTGGTAGATCAGTTGTCAGGGCTTTTGTCATGGAGGTTTGTGCTTCTATCAAGAGGGTGCCGCTGCTCCTGATCATAAAGCTTGGTAATGGACATGAGGTTATTGAGGGGTTTGTATTGTTGGGGTTCCCAAATTGTATTGGCGCCATTGGTGGGACCCATGTGCCTATCTTTGCCCCCTATACCAGGCCTCAGTGTTCATCAACAGAAAGGGGTATTTCTCCATGGTGCTGCAAGGCCTGGCTGGTCACCATGGCAGGTTCATTAATATTAATGTGGGATGGTTTGGAAAGGACTGTGGTACCAGTATCTTTAGACACTCAAGCCTGTTTTCTGCAATGAGAAATAGAACTTCGGGGGAGAGGGATAGCTCAGTGGTTTAGGCATTGGCCTGCTAAACCCAGGGTTGTGAGTTCAATCCTTGAGGGGGCCACTTAGGGATCTGGGGCAAAATCAAAAATTGGTCCTGCTAGTGAAGGCAGGGGGCTGGACTCGATGAGCTTTCAAGATCCCTTCCAGTTCTAGGAGATGGGATATCTCCATTAATTAATTTATTTATTTATTTTAACTTTTGCTCCCAGGACCACTGTGGACATTAATTGTGTTGTGATTTCTATTGTCATTCTGGAGACTCGTCTTATCCTCTGCTTCTCTGACCTATGAAGCCTTTTACTGACACTTGGTTAGGAGAAAGGACCTATTTAACTAGCTGCAGAATGACAGTGGTGTGTACATTTGGAAGACTGTAGGGAAGGTGGGGGTACCTCATGACTGGAGGCTGCTGAGGAATAGCTGCCTCGTGTGATAGGCGCTTGCAGCGTATTGCACGTTTATGAGAGAAAGGGAAAGAGCCTCATAGGTGGGTGGGAGGCAAAGGTTGTGAGACTTTCCGAACAGCCAAATTGACTGCCTCTGCTAAAGGTTAAAATTGGTCAGGGACACAAGCTCAAGGATGCATTGTGTTCCTACTTTAAGGCTAGGTTGATTTTATTGTCCCTTTAATTATGCTTTGTGCAAGGATTTTATTACATTTTTCAACTGAGTTGTAAATAATAAAGACTTTTACTGATCTCTGCACAGGTCAAATTTAAAACCAATGGAATTGTGGCAAGACACGCAAGTGCTGAGTGCACACATGTTTGTGCTGATGATGTCACAAACATGTAGGTGGGGTAGAAACAGTTCTCCATATCTTGGGATGTGGCATGGCAAGCAATATAATTGTAGGAATTTCCACTATTCTCTTTGTCTTGGGATCTGCAGTGAGGAAAGGTCAGTTCCTTGTAGTTTGGGAAGGGATAAAGTACTTCCAGCATATACAGTGTTTTCAAGGGGCTGCAGGACATGGTTAGGTTAGCATGATGGCTGTGAACATAGTGTCACCATTTTCTCCAGCAGAGCTGTCTGCCTGTCCATCATCACCAGAATCTGTGAGAGCATCTTCTCTCTCTTCTTGGTATCATGTTGAAGCAAACCACCCTTCCACTCTTCTGTATTCTTCTCTCTTCTCTGGAATGCAGCCACAAGGCCACTAAACGTGCCCTCTTGTGTCCTCTTTCTCATCCCCAAAAGATTTGTCAGGCATTCAGGCACTGATAATGGTCCTGAACTCAAGGGATTAACAATGCTGAGATTGTGATTAAAAATAACCATGAATGTCTTACAGTCCTATATATTTTGAAATGTGTCTGTTGCCCAATTTACCTCATAAAATGTAAAGGTAGCTAAAAGCTCACAAATTGTGAATTAAAGTACTTTTCTTACTGTTTTTTCTTATTCTGTATCTGATACTACAGTAAACATGCCTGCCATGCAATATGTTTGATTCTTTTTAAATCCCCCCCCCCCCCCCCCCACTGTGTGGCCATCTTGAGCAGGGACAGGACAGTTGACCAGGAGCGAGAGGGAACATTAAGCAGCACAGTAAGGTGGTGGTAGTGGGGCACATGTTTGGGGGATTTAATGTTTCAGAGAAATAAACACTTTGGAGCTTAAATTCTCTGGCATGGATGTTATTTTTTGCACGCTGGGGGAGGTTGGGCAAATAAAAGCCAAGCAGGTGGAGAGAAGCTCCTAGCTCATATTTGCCCAACTTGGTGGCACCATGATAGTACCGAGAACACGGTGTTTAAATCCCCCTATAAAACACACAATACTTAAAGGAAGAGGTCCCCTCCCCAGCATTGTCAGACTTTTTTTTTGTCTGGGTTTGGGGCTCTCCCTGGTCTCCAGTGCTGGGCCTGCCTCTGAGCTTTTCAAGTTGATGAGATCCTGGCTATCCATGGCAATCCCCACATATTCACAGTGCTATTCAGCTACTTGGGTTTATTCAGTGCTGTGCAGAACATGCCAGGATTCAGTGCTGGCCTCCCTTGCAAGAATTCAGTCTAGCTCCTCATAGGTGCATATCTCCCAAGATCTTGTTACTGTGCTTGGAATTTTTATAACTGCCAGAATGGCTTTCATTTGTTGTGGTACTGTACTTGCACCCGGGAGTGCCCTCATTCCTGCCTTTGATTTGATATCCTCTCATACCTCTTGGCATTCTGGTGACTGCTCTTAGATGGGACTGAACCTGCTCCTCTTCCCAAAGGCTAAGGAAGTGCATATCTGTACACAGAGCATGGTTTCTATAATCAGGATGTGACTCTGGGTTTGTGAACTCACCATGAGCTGGAATTGCAAGGTGATACATCTGGCTATACACCAGCGTTTAATCAGGGAGATGACATCCAGTCAAGATTACCCTAGAGAATTAGAGCACAAGGGCACATAAGTAAACAGGCACTGCAGCCCAGGAGTGCAGCAGTGCAGTGTGGGATAGCAGTGGGAGGACTGCCAGAAGCAAAACAATTAGTTCAAAATGGGGATGTGGTCACATAAAACTTATTGTGGGGGTAACTCATTCCATATTAGAGTAAATCTACTTTTAAAGTGGATTAACTACAGTAAAAGCTTTGTTATCCGGCATGTTGGGGGAATGGAGGGGGTGCTGGTTAGTCAAAAATTCCGGTTAACTAAGAGTTATATTACCAATTGAGGGAGTGAGTTTGGGTGTGGGAGGGGGCTCAGGGCTGGGGGTTGGGGCACAGGAGGGGTTTTGGGGTGCCAGCTCTGGGCCGCACTCACCTTGGGCAGCTCCCCACAAGCAGCGACATGTCCCTCGGCTCCTAGGCGGAGGCATGGCCAGGCAGCTCTGTGTGCTGCCTCCGCCTGCAGGCACCATCCCCGCAGTTCCCATTGGCCAGGAACCACGGCCAATGGGAGCTGCAGAGCCAGCGCTTCGGGCAGGGGCAGCACACGGAGCTCCCGTGGCCGTTCCTCCACTTAGGAGCAGCAGGGACAACCGGACCTGGCAACCCTATTGAAGATTTGTATTTGGAGATATCAGAAATGCTGGTTTCTAGAGCTTTCCGGCTGGTAATGTGCCAGATAACACAGCTTTTACTGTAATATGAAATGAAATGACAGATAATTTGAGGAAAAAATCTCTTGTGTGGAGGCAAGGCAGTTTATCCCAAAAAACCTCAATCCAAAGTAACTTTCAAGTGCAGAGAAGCCTTCGATCTTTGACCAGCTCCTCCTTCAGCTTGTTTCTCAAATGTCATGTGACAATGGGGACGAGTAACTCCACATAGGTTCTGATTCCCCAGTGGTGGGGTTTCCTTACATAGTTTTGGGTCTAGAGAGGGAGGAAAGAGGAGTGGCCCTGGCTCAGCTAGTCTTGAACTGCTTTCTGCAGCTGTTCTGCTGGCTCTGGCTTGCTTGCATTTTCTTTCACAAAAGCTATGTGGTCATTGATGAGACTTAAAATGACCTAGGCGTCCAAGTCGTGCTTTACGTTTTTTTCCACATATGTGACAGGTGGTTGCTTAAAGAAAGCACAACTGCTGGCCGGGATGCTGTACCCTTTCCTTCCTCCTCTGCCATTTCTCAGCCTCTTGAGCAAGGCGATTCTCTTCAAAACAGGCAGAGGCTTGATGTATGATGCAAAACCAAGTATCCGCCATCCACACTCAACGACTAGACCAGTGAAGTTGATGTTTCATAATCTTTGCCTCAACACTGGTGATGTTAGCTGCAGAGAGAACACTGACTTTGGTGCAGTGGTCTTCCCACCTGATACGGAGAATCTTCCTAGGGCAGCGAGGTCGGTACCACTCCAGACACTTAAGATGTCTTCAGTATGTCACCCATGTCTCGCACATAAAGAAGAGTGGGGCTGACTACTGCATTATAGACCAGGATCTTAATTTCCATCTGCTGATCTCTAAAGACACGACGGAGCAACTTTTCCAAAGGATACACTGGCACAATGGATCCTATGTTCAATCTCCACATTAATATTGTGCAAATTATGCAAAACTTGGATACACTGCTTTCTGGGTCCTGTGTTGCTATATAGCTGCTAGGTCAGCTGTCTGTTTTAATCACTTTTATCGCTGCTTATGCTTGTTTTACAATAATCAGCGGCTATGAGACATTTGTAATCAAGAATGTAGGCAAGAAATCATGGTAATCTTAAAGGGACATCATCAATAATGGGGGAGGGATAGCTCAGTGGTTTGAGCATTGGCCTGCTAAACCCAGGGTTGTGAGTTCAATCCTTGAGGGGACCTCTTAGGGATCTGGGGCATAAATTGGTACTTGGTTCTGCTAGTGAAGGCAGGGGGCTGGACTCAATGACCTTTCAGGGTCCCTTCCAGTTCTATGAGATATAGGGGTATCTCCATATATTATTATTATTATTATTATTATTAACTTGAAATCTAGTTGTTTCAACAGTGAGTTAAAAGTAGTTTTAGACAACACGCTTCACCTCTACCAGTTTTTGTGATTTTTTGTTTTTTACAGCCAAGTTTTCCTAAATTTAGTCCATTACATGTAGTAAAACAATAGTGAGAGCTACTCATTTTTCACAGTGTGCTACCAAACTTGCTCAAGAACCCACACAAAGAGTAATCAAGTAGCTTGCAGACTGTATTGATGAATATTTAACCAATGGAAATATTAAGTCAGCAATGCTGAAATTCAGATTGCAGCTGAACACCAGAAATAAAATACTGACAGCAACAGCCATGGGCCTAAGCAAAGCCCTTCGGAGGAGAAAATTCAATGAATACAGGTATTCCAAACAGCTGTCTTTTTTTTTTTTTTTTTTTTTTAACCTGCTTAAGATAGTGATGTATAATGTGCACATTTAAAATAATAAACTTTTGTGGTCTTTTGGCTAAGGCAAAGTATAGTGCTTTTGGCACAGACCCTGTCTCATGCTGCGTGTTCATACTGTTCCTAGCACAGTGAGGCCTGATTTGGAGCTAGAGCCTTGGGTGCTGTTGCCGTACAAATACATTAGAATGATAAACTAGCTGAATTCTTGCTGGAGATATTGATTATTTTCTGTTTCCTTAGTCTTTTACACTAACATATTTGAACAAGCTACTAATTTGAAAAAGTGTCTAGAAAGATAGTGGTGATTTGGGGGGGGGGGGGAATACCCCCCACCCCAAATCAAAAACTTTAATATGTAGAAATTTCCCAAATGGAGATTGTATATACACAAATTTTTGATAATTAAAGCACTTACAGGGAAAGGTTTACACAGACAATTATTCTATTGCAGACTGTAATAATTTCTCATCCTTTCTCTGCCACAGGAACTCATTATACAATGACAAATGGAGGAAGCATTAATAGTTCAACACATTTACTGGACCTCTTGGATGAACCCATTCCTGGAGTTGGAACATACGATGACTTCCACACCATTGACTGGGTGCGAGAGAAGTGCAAAGACAGAGAAAGGCACAGACGGGTACTTGAGATCAATAACACTCATTGGAATTTACTTAATGTTGTGTATTGGGATTAAGGTCTGATCCAGCAACACATAACCATGTGCATAACTTTAAACGTGAATAGTTCCATTGGCTTCAGTCACATGCTTGAAACTCATCCACGTGCTTACGTGTGTTGCTGGATTGGAGTCTCAGTCAATGAAATATCATATTTCTGTGATAGCATTATATCTTCGGAAGGCAAACAGCAGTAATTTAAGGCAGTGAAAACAGAGGCCATGTCCACAACAACCCCCCCTTCAGCCTCCAAACGTGGATGCATTTATACCAGTATACACTTTTATACTAGTATAGCTCCTTCCCATACACTAAGGGAAATAAACTATACTTGTATAAGGCCTGGTCTACACTATGGGGTTAGGTCGAATTTAGTCACGTTAGGTCGATTTAAAAATGAATGCGTACACACAACCAACTCCGTTCCATCGACCTAAAGGCCTCTTAAAATCGACTTCTGTACTCCTCCCCGGCAAGGGGAGTAGCGCTAAAATGAAATTTGCTGGGTCGAATTTGGGGTAGTGCGGATGCAAATCGATGGTATTGGCCTCCAGGAGCTATCCCAGAGTGCTCCATTGTGACCGCTCTGGACAGCACTTTGAACACCGATCCACTAGCCAGGTACACAGGAAAAGCCCCGGGAACTTTTGAATTTCATTTCCTGTTTGGTCAGCGTTGCGAACTCTGCAGCACAGGTGACCATGGAGTCCCCCCAGAATTGTAGAGCGTAGAATGTTTCTACGATCCCCTTATCTCCGTCCCTGAGGTTACCGCAGATTAGAAGGCAAAAATAACGCACTCGCAATGACATGTTTTCCAAGCTCATGTAGTCCTCCCACATTGATAGGGCACAGCTTAATGCATGGAAGCATTCAGTGGCAGAGGCCAGGAAAGAATTAAGTGAGCGCAAAGAGCAGAGGCAGGACGCGATGCTGAGGCTAATGGGGGAGCAAACGGACATGATGAAGCATCTGTTGGAGCTGCAGGAAAACCAACAAGAGTACGGACCCCCGCTGCATCCACTGTATAATTGCCTACCCTCCTCCCCGTGTTCCATAGCCTCCTCACCCAGATGCCCAAGAACGTGGGTGGTGGGAGGCTCCGGTCACCCAGCCACTCCACTGGAGAGGATGACCCAAGCAACAGAAGGCTGTCATTCAAACAGTTTGATTTTTAGTGTGGCTACAGTAAGCAATGTGGCCTTGTCCTTCCCTCCTCCCCCACCCCACCCGGGCTATCTTGTCCGTTATCTCTCTTTTTTTTTTTAATTAATAAGAAAGAATGCATGGTTTCAAAACAATAGTTACTTTATTTCGAAGTGGGGAGGGTGGTTGGCTTACAGGAAATTAAAATCAACAAAGGGGGTGGGTTTGCATCAAGGAGAAACACACACAACTGTCACACCGAAGCCTGGCCAGTCATTAAACTGGTTTTTAAAGCCTCTCTGATGCGCAGCACGCCTTGCTGTGCTCTTCTAATTGCCCTGGTGTCTGGCGCGAAACGATTGTCTGCCGCTGCTTTCACGGAGGGAGGAGCGACTGATGACATGTACCCAAAACCATCCGCGACAATGTTTTTGCCCCATCAAGCATTGGGAGCTTAACCCAGAATTCCAATGGGCGGCGGAGACTGCGGGAACTGTGGGATAGTTACCCACAGTGCACCTCTCCGTAAGTCGATGCTAGCCACGGTAGTGAGGACGCACTCTGCCGACTTAATGCGCTTAGTGTGGACATACAGTAATCAACTGTATAAAATCGACTTCTATAAAATCGACCTAATTTTGTAGTGTAAGCATACCCTAAGGCACTGATATAACTACATCCACACTAGGAGTTGTACTGGTATACTTATTTTGATTAAAAAAAATCACACACTTAACCAAAATAGTTATCAATATAAAAATTGCGTAGACCAGGCCTTAGTTTAAATGGAAAGTGTCTCTGCCACTTCCCTCTTCCAAATCTGCCCCATCCCACAAACCTATCTTTTCTCTTTTTGTACTGGGCTCTTCTGAAAATCTTAATCCTTCAGGCGCCTCATCAGGAAAGCACATAAGCACTTACTTAAGCCCTGGGACATAAGTTTTTTGCTTACAGATGCTTTCATGAATTGGGATCGCAGTGCCCATTTCTCAGTGACATATTAGATACTGCCATTAATCTGAGGTATAATTTTATTCTAAATAAGGCAAAATTGTATCCTCTAAAAGAAAGTAAGCTGTTTTAAAGATCATTGCTGTGCTTTTGGAAGACCCCCATTAATGTACCTGTAAAAGGAAGCATTTTGAAGATGTGAAATCTTTTTTTTTTTTTTTTTTTTTAACTGATCTAAAGAAACTGTTTAAAAACTAAGGGTAACTAAATCTTAAACATCAGTCTGCTAAACTGCCTGCTTTCAGGAGTCAGGAAGAAATTCCTTCTATGTTCAACACTGAACGGTCGTCTAGTCCTTTCTCTGAAGCACTACGTATTTGTTGGTTTTGGAAACAAGATAGACTGTGTAGACTGATTTGATCTGTTTCTGCAAATCCTACATTGCTTTTAAAAAAACCCAACCAAACCATAACTGTAGTATCTAGTGCCCCTCTCAGATAAACAGGTGTGTTCGCAATGGATCTGAGAACATGTGTGCAATCTAATTGTGTGAGTTGCATGGGGGTTATCTGTTTCTGTGGATAGTTAACACAACTTCATCTTTTTACTGAAGAGTGGTTTGAGCATTGGCCTGCTAAACCCAGGGTTGTGAGTTCAATCCTTGAGGGGGCCACTTACAGATCTGGGGCAAAAATCAGTACTTGGTCCTGCTAGTGAAGGCAGGGGGCTGGACTCGATGACCTTTCAAGGTCCCTTCCAGCTCTATGAGATAGGGATATCTCAATAAGATGTACTGGCTAGTACGTGCCATTCGATGGAGTGCCAGACCTGCTCAACTGCAAGATGATCTGATCTCACAGTAGTAGTTGGTGTAGAGCAGGGGTCGGCAACCTTTCAGAAGTGGTGTGCCGAGTCTTCATTTATTCACTCTAATTTAAGGTTTCGCGTGCCAGTAATACATTTTAACATTTTTAGAAGGTCTCTTTCTATAAGTCTATAATATATAACTAAACTATTGTTGTAAGTAAAGTAAATAAGGTTTTTAAAATGTTTAAGAAGCTTCATTTAAAATTAAATTTAAAATGCAGAGCCCCCCGGACCGGTGGCCAGGACCCGGGCAGTGTGAGTGCCACTGAAAATCAGCTCACGTGCCGCCTTTGGCACACGTGCCATAGGTTGCTTACCCCTGGTCTAGAGGATTGAAACTAATATTGTTGATAACTAAAAGTTGTTTCTTTAGGTTCAGTGGTAGGGACTTGAGAAGCTAGAGCAGAGGGTACTGAGTTTATAGTCACTCAACAACTGTGGAATTTATATAGCTACCGTAAATTGTGTAAGCCTTTGTACCACAGTGTTTAGAAGGGGAAAAAAAGCCGGTAAAAGACTAGTTTATAGGACACTTTGAATGTCTATTATGAGGGTGCCAAAATGTATGCTGTTTCTTTTATTTTAAAGGAATCTTGGTAATTTGAAATCTATGTTTAAAACTATAGTCAAAATAATTTTAGGGCTTTTATATTTTTGTGCTTTACAATTATATTTTCTGTTTATAACACATTTTTCTCACTCCTTTTGCAATGTGAAAATTCCACAAGAACAGGGGAAGAAAATGATACAGACATGATGATTTCTATTTGCAGATTAACAGCAAGAAGAAAGAATCCGCCTGGGAGATGACAAAAAGTTTGTATGATGCATGGTCAGGATGGCTAGTAGTCACACTAACTGGTTTGGCATCAGGTAAAGACAATAGAATACAATTTCATAACTTTTCCAATCTTTTCTGATCATTCCTGAGTTTCCATAGTACATGTATCCCTGTACTAACAATTACCATTATATTGTTCTGATATCTGTCCAAAACCCCATTTATTGTAAATGCATAAATGAGGAGAAAATTATTTTCATATAACAGTAGAACAGGATCAGGCTAATAGTGTAATCTCATTTTAGGGGAGCAAGGTTAAAAATCAAGTGAGTAATATAATTCTTGTGAAAAGTTCCAGAATGATAGGCTTTCAGAGATTTAGAGACTTTTTTAGTCCACACAACAGGAAATTCTGGGCCCAGTGAAGTCAGTGGGGGTTTTGTCATTGATTTCAGTGGGTTCAGGATTTCATCCAGGGTGAAACTTCCCTCACAGTGAACTATGTACCTCAGTCCTGGCCTGGAAGAGCCTTACTTTTTTGGGGTGATGTGGTAGTTCATTATTCCTGTCCATTCAGTTCTAGCTCCCTTCCTTGGGATTCCCAACAAAGTGTCAGTATTCACAATGGGTTCACCTACACAGCAAAAAATAAATAAAAAAGTCCTGTGGCAGTGAGCCTCATAGCTGAGTCAAGTGATGTGGACTCATGGGGCTTGCACTGCATGGCTAAAAATAGCAGTGTAGCCATTCCTACTCAGGTTGCTCCAAGACCCTCACCGGGTTTCAGTCTCCAGCCCAAGCCTGAACATCTACACTGTTATTTTTAGCCCCACAGTGTGAACTCTAGTCAATTGACCTGTGCTCTGAGACTTGCTGCCACTGGGATTTAATTATTTTTTTTGCTGTATAGATGTACCCTATGATGGTGGGATTTCTGCTGTGGATGCATGTCTCACTAGGAACGTGATTGAGTCCGTCAGCACATTTCACATAGACCAATGAGAAGTCATTAGAACTTTCCAGTTTTGACAGATACACTCTCATAGGCCATGAGCTGCATTCAGTTGTGACTAGTCTAACTAACATTTCTGATTGATGTCCATGAATTAAATCTAAGTTCCTAATGCAAGATATTAGCTGTAACAAGTAAACTCTGTTGTCCTTTGGCCTCAATTTCATCTTTTGTTTTTCATATATTTTTAGGATAAGACACAAAACTAAGGTCCTCCTGACCATGTATGGTCACCTTTAGATGCTATGGGACTTATTAGGCTTTTATTAGCATAATTTGAAAAAGCTGTAGTGCTTATGAATGTGCAGCCATGACAATCATCATGCCCAATTATCCTAAACAAGCTTTACATAAATACTAGAATAAATCCCAGGAGGGTTGAATTAGTGTGCAGAGTGTAGATGAGGTGGTCAAAGAGTAATGGCTATATGTAATGGCTATAATCACTGTGTGTGTGTGTGTGTGCGTAATCACATGTAAATGAGTGTATCTTCATTCTATATAATGTGTGTATACGCAGATGCATGTATATATGTACACGTGTATATATAGATGAAATGTGTATGTATAATTAGTATAAAGCATTTGGGATCTTTTGGGTGAAAAATGCCACATAAAGTCTAAATGAAGTCATTATCTCTACAAAAAACTTGAAGCTATGGTTAAAATTGCTAAACTGGATATCTCACCAACACACATCCTAAAAAAGCAAGCAAATTAAAAGTTTAAGCATTCTGCGCTCTGTCTGTGCTTCTTGTCAGTTCCTCTTCTCAATCTCAGCTACCTTCTTCTGCCACCTACATCCCACAAATCTCCATCCTCATCCTGAACAACCAGTGTGCAGTTTTAATTCCAACCATGATTTTATGTTGGTATGTTTTGAATCTTCGTATAGGATGAAATCTGGCCCTGTTGAAGTCAATGAAAGTTTTGCAGTTGACTTCATTATGACCAGAGGGCTAGTAAATAAAACAGCTTTACCCATGTGGGCCTGTTTGTCTGTCTCTAGAGATACTGGATGAAGCTCTTTTCCACTTTAGATCAAAATTCACTACTTCCAGTTGTGAAATGTATGAATTTTTAAAAATAAAATAGTTTTGTTATGGGAGATTAGTGATCAGTGAACTGTTGAGTTTTTCTGCAACTTCTAACTAACTGCTAACGTGAGAAGCCATCCTTCTTTTGTAAAATTGCCATTTTAACTCTTTCTTTTAAGCAGTTTCCTGAAACTAAATAATGCCTGTTTTTCAAGAGCTTATTTTGGCTGGAGTTTTCAGCTTGCATTCGCAACAGAGATTCCTGTCTCTAAAGGCTTGAGCTTGAGAGGTGCTGACTATCTATATCTCTCATTAACTTCAGTGGGAATTGTGGGTACTCAGCACTTCCCAGGATCAGGCTATGTTTTTTCATGTTGATTATTTCAAGCAGTGTGTTTGAAATACTTTGCTTTATTTGGTGTATCATTTGTGTTTTAATGATATTTTTGGTAAGATAAGAATGAATTATGTTACTGCTGTTTGTGGTTGCTGTTATGATTCAGTTGAGATACAAAATGGTTCAGTTCACAAGATAAAATATTTTATCAGAAAAATACATCAGTCCCATCTGTCTCTTTACATCCTTAATTTTTTGGACTGTTGAAAAACTGTGCCTTAAATCATCGGAAATTATTTGTTTAATTTGAGTATTTGTAATTTATCTGATACTGGATTCTAGAGCAAAAGTTAGCTTATCCTCATTGCAAACTGGATCTGTACACAAACTCAGTTAACAACTGTATTTGACAGCAAATTGTCTAGATTTCTATTTTCCCTCATTTCTGTTACTTTGTTTGCCTGTTCTTTTAGGGTATGTCAATGGATGTCACTGTTTTTCTTGAATTTTTAAAATTTCCAGAAGCTAATACATAACTGTTTGTTCAACAGGGGCATTGGCAGGGTTGATAGACATTGCTGCTGATTGGATGACTGACTTAAAGGAAGGCATTTGCCTTAGTGCTTTGTGGTTTAACCATGAACAGTGTTGTTGGGGATCAAATGAGACAACATTTGAAGAGAGAGACAAATGTCCACAGTGGAAAACATGGGCGGAACTAATAATTGGTCAAGCAGAAGTAAGTACAACCCTTTAGTGAAGGCATTGTTTAGTTGTTTTGGTGAGGATTAAGAGACAGGGAGGAAGGGTGGGTGGTCTTAAGGTAAGGCACTAAACTGAGAATCTGGAGATCTGGGTTCTTTTATTGGTTCTGTCACAATCTTTCTGTGTAAACTTGGGCAAATCATTTAGGGCAGATCTACACTGAAGTTTTGCTGACATAGGTGTGTTGGGTAAAGTTGTGATTTTTTTTTTTTTTTTTTTCAGCATAGTGCTGACAAAAGCCCCAGTGTAGTTATACTGGCATAAAAGTGCTTTTGCCGGTACAGGGTATTTCACTCACCAAACCAGAATAAGTTATATTGGCAAAATCACTTTTATATCAGTATAGCTGTATCTGCACTAAGTGATTTTTGCTGATCTAGCTTTACCAGCAAAATCTCTTTAGTCTAAACAGGGCCAAATGCCCTGATCCTGCAAGCTGCTCTATGCAAGTATTCTTCAGTGGGGCTGCACATGGGCGTAGGGCGTCTTCCTGTGCAGAGCAGCTTACAGGATCAAGGTCTCAACCTCCCTCTGCCTCATTTTCCTTATCAGTAAAATTGGGATAATAATTAATCAACTGACAGGGGAGTTATGATGCTTAATTAATACTTGTGAACTGCTCGGATACTATAGTGATAAGCACAATAGAAATGTCTCTTAATAAAGAAGTAAAAGGCTCATCTTCTAAATGAGATCATGAGAATTTGTATTTCTGATTGTGTTTTTAAATATATATATATATGCTAAATTTTTAGCAGTATTTTCTTTTTATTGAAAATAAACAAAAATAAGACTTGTATTATATTAATAAAGTTAAAATTGAGTTGGTTTTATTAATCTTTTCTAGCAGCATACCTCTTACAAAAATAGATTTTTATATACTGTATTCATTAGATTTTAGCATTTGAGTTGCAAAAACCTCCTGTGCTGTGGCTTCTAGATTTAATTGTTGCACTCATAGTTTGATTTTGATACAGACTGTTATAACAGCCAAAACTTGTATAGCTCAGGCTTTACTACAGTTTACTTAATGTAATGACTTCAGGGAATTTCAAACAAAACTAATATTTGCTTGCCATAGCAACATTTTGCTTTTGTTAGTGTGGGAATATATATGTAAGAGTTTTTGCAGCAAGAGTATTTCCAGATTACTTTTGTTTAGAAATGTCTAATACATTTAGTTTATACGTTAATCAAATTATATTGTGTTTTTTATTTGTTTACTTTTAGGGTCCAGGTTCATACATTATGAACTACATTATGTACATTTTCTGGGCCTTGAGCTTTGCCTTCCTAGCAGTTTCTCTGGTGAAAGTGTTTGCTCCCTATGCCTGCGGCTCTGGGATTCCAGAGGTAGGGTCTGAAGTCTTTGTATCATAATGGAAGTTTAAGGCTAATATAAAAAGTCTTGTTGCCTTATCATTCTGGGCAAAGGGGAAGCCAAGAATGAATACTGTATCTATGATGCATTATGCTAATATAAGAATTAAAATTGAAATAATATTGACATTATTAAGCACTACTGAAATAGATATTAAAGGTTTCAGAATATTGCTTGAATTCTCAGGTTTTGCCATCAGTTTCTGGTTGGCCTAGTCTTACAGGAAACCTTTGGTTTCTTTTGAAAACCTCCGAAGAGTGATTGGGTTTTTTTTTTTTCCATTTGTCAGTTTAGCAATGATAGAACAGTAATTAATTGTCACAGTATGACGTCCTTTGATGCAGTAGTTCATCTTTTGTTGCATGGCCATAATCTTCTTTAGTAACATAAACTGACATAAAGTCATTTCATAAGGTAAAAATGTTTGGTCAAAAATAGTGAAATCTTGTTCTTTTTACAACTATTCTTTGCCATTCTAACTTCAGAATTATAAAAATTGGTCAGTAGCATGACCCTTCTAGTAATTCTAAGAGAATTTGTACTTGTTTGTTTCTAAGTGTTCTGTATTTCCTCAAATATGTACGGATTTGAGGTCCAAATTCCAAATCAGTCTCTAAATTTACTCTACAAACCTTTACTTTATGTGCACAACTGACCAGAATTTTTTGCAGTGCTCAATCATATATGTAGTCTTCTTTATGGTGATGAATAGACAATATAGATTTTTTTTTTTAGGTATGATGACAAAGCAATTAGGCAAAGTAATATATTAGAAAAATATAAACTCTTTTCTAGTGAAAACAGCTGGTCTTCCTCATTATCAGTATATCAAGCCATTGCTCTTAGATATTGTGTGCAATTAGAATAAAACAGGGGAGAATATAGGTAAGGGTGACATTATATTGTAATTAAAACATCTGTAAATAATTAACTGGTATCTCTGAGTATAGTTCTCACAGTGAGTTTGTTTCTGTTGTAGGAATTTTATGGTCTGCATTTGTCAGGTTACATAACAAAACTCTTTAGTTAATGCAGTCTTGTAATTTACTGCAGGTTTATTTTCTGTTCAGTATAATGAATAGCGTTGTTATATTTTGCTGAATTAGGTATAGATCTATCTCCTTCAAGTATAGTGTAACTGTACTGTATGCAATGTGAATGGTATGCTTCTGGCAAACAAACTGAGTGCAAATAGCACTCAAAAGTTTAAAGTGTTTTAAAGTTTTAAAGTTCTGCAGGTAAAAGTCCTCTTTCCAATCAAGTAATTTTTAAGTTGTGATTCTAAAATTATAGATAATAGCTTATCAACATAAAAGTAGCATGTATTCTAAGAAAAATGAAGTCTAACATGGAATATTTTTTCCTTCTAGATTAAAACTATTTTGAGTGGCTTCATCATCCGAGGTTACTTGGGCAAATGGACCTTGATGATAAAAACCATCACTTTAGTCTTGGCTGTAGCATCAGGTTTGAGTTTAGGAAAGGAGGGTCCTCTGGTACATGTTGCCTGTTGCTGTGGGAATATTTTTTCCTACCTCTTTCCAAAGTACAGTACAAATGAAGCTAAAAAAAGGGAGGTAAGTTCCTCTTAAAATCTTTTACCTATTACATAAAAAAGGGTACAGTTTTACAATAAATTCCCATAATCAAAAGATTGGTAAAGCATGAAAATTCTTTGATTAAAACAAAGCCTAAAACATGTCATGTGTTCTTTTAGCTGTTGTATAGGTTTGGATTATTAATCATTATATTCTCAGATCAGGGATCACCACACCCCACCAAAAGTTGTCTACACTTTTGTCAGAGCCCTGAAAAATCCTTCCCTTCTCTCTCATCCACGTTTAGTGTTGCTTTACACTCCATCTTCTAGACCCCACATTATAACAACTGTTCTTTTAGACAATGAGGAGCACACTGGATTTACCTCTGAACTCGCTAACAAACTGCTGAGGCAGAGGAGTAGATGAAATTACTCAAGACTTGTTCCCCCTTTGCTCTGGTGACCACAGTCCTGTGCACCCCTTCCAGTCCCTGCTGGCCATGGAACAAATGAGAGAAACCAACTTGCATTGCAGTTAATGCCATATTAACAGAAGCAAGTCCAGTGTCAAGGTAGCCAGATATCCCGATTTTTTTTTTTTTTTTTTTTTTTCAGCATAATCCTACTTTTCAATAGCATCTCCCATATTTTAACAGGAAAAAATTCTCTAAATTCTGCCCACCCATGCTGTAGTTCTGTATGTTTAGCTCCCATACCGCTGGAGGAGGTTAGTCTTGTGGAGTAGGCACTGGTCTGGAACTCAGGAGATCTGGCTTCAATTCCCAGCTCTAACCCAGAGTGCCTCTGTAACCCTGGGCAAGTCACTTAATCTCTCCATGGCTCAGTTCATCTGTAAAAATGGGCATAATTTTCCCACTCTTTGTCTGTTTTGTCTAATTATACTGTAAGTACTACAGGACCTTTAAAGCAGACCTGGTAATGTACAAGAATTGGAAAAGGAGAAGTAGAGTCAGGATTGGGAGTAGGGAAGGGCTAGAGATGTGGAGGGTTAACAAGCTGGGTTGATTGACTTTAGTTTTGGGGGACACAATGAGGGAGTGAACAGTGAAGTGTGGGAGAGAGGGACCAGTTTGTCAGAGAGGGTTAGGTTGAAAGAATGGGCAATAAGGGAAGGGTGGAAATAGGTTGGAGGAGATTGTGGTGGGACTGGAGAGGAAGGGGAAAGAAAATAGGTGAAGTGAAATAGAGAAGAGAAACTGCATAAGAAGAAAAAGGAGAGAAAACAGAAGTCAGGAAAAAAAGTAGACAGAAGAAAGAAAAATGAAGGAAATACACTGTATTTTATCAGCATGTTGTCTAGCAGATTGAAGGGGCTAAATATTCAGGCATCCAGAAGTGCAGGATTGATGGAAAAGGTCTAACTGATCTGACCAAATTGAAAGAGAGGGGACGGTACCTTCTAGGTTACATTAATGTTTCAAATGTATCCGAGAACCTCTGCCATCTCCAAAATCTCATCTAGATTTACTACCAGCGAATTCTGTTACTACTATTCTCTCCCTCCCACATTTTATTCTGAATTTATTTTAATACTAGGACTTGCTCATTGTTCCATTCCTGAACTTTGCTGCTGGACTCCGAGACCTGAGCAGTCAACTTCCTCCATCTTGGGTGTCTGTTAATTTCGGTTAGCCAATCATTAGGTCAAGAGCTATTAATTAAAATAGTTGTACTTCCATAATTATGGCTATACACTGGCTAGATTTCCTAGTGTACATTTATTGCATTCAGAACCTACCTACCTTTCACAGTTGCTCATATGATTGCAACTCTCTGTGGTTTTTTTCATCTCTGGTTCCACTCCCACAGGCAGTGCAGATAGGCAGTTAGGCAATACAGATAGCTGTGGTCTCATGAAAAGTTGGGAGGAAGTACAACTGTGAAGAAGAGAGAAGCAGCATATGGGTCCTTGAGAGGAAGATGGGAAGAAAGTAATCAGTCCATATATTAGGATTCTTTGGTCTTTAGTGTCATATAAATCTGTTGACCGTAGTTAGTGATATATCATAAGAATAAATTTCTATTTTTGTTTTAAAAATGCATCACAAACACAAAAATAAAACTACGCCATTCTTCTTTTCTAGGTGTTATCAGCTGCTTCAGCAGCAGGAGTATCAGTAGCCTTTGGTGCCCCAATTGGTGGCGTCCTTTTTAGTTTGGAGGAGGTATGTAAAGAGACAGCACAGAAGGCAATATATTTAAAAATGAATGTTTTAACAGCTGTAGTCTCAAACTTTTTCTTCTGTGGAGCCTTTTGTAACAGAAGCTCCTCTTGTGGGCCTGATCCTGCAGTGAGCTCTTCATGAAGCCACTTTCTCAGCACCTTAAAGAGAGCTTCTTGGCCCACAGTTTGATAAGTACTTTTTTACACTATGGTCTGGATACTAATCTACATTGGTCATTCTGGAAATTTTTCTTCATCAAATGTATTGCGTCGATTCAGTATTATGAGTTCTGGCATGGGCAAACCCCGCAAAGCATTTTGTTTCAGGTGACTGTTGTAGGCCAAGATTTCTTCATTACTGTTTTATTTTTTCTGGAGAAAGGCAGATTCCTTTATTGCAGCTTTATAGCTCACAAATGAATAGAGTTAAATTAAATGTTGTTGTTGACAATTCAGAAGTCAGGTTCTTCCTTCCCCCCTCCCAAGGAAGAAAGAAAAAGAAAATAAGTACCTATATGGACTTGAAATTGACTAGGTTTTTCATGCAATTGCTTTCCTGCTTTTTCCCCCCTACAGTTTACATTTAAAAAAAACTGCTGATGTGAGAGCCTTTTTGATTTAGTCTGTTATAGATAGTGCAGATTAGCATCAATTATGCCTTTCCTATTAATGTCTTTCTAATGTTCTTGTTTCCTGACACTGGGAACATATCATGTTTAATTTAAAAGAAAAGGGAGGGGGGAATAATGGTTTGGTTCCTACTACTTATTTTGCTTACCTTGGGCCAACAGACCATTTAAAAACTCATTTGCCAATTTAGTTAAAACAAGCTTTAAATGTTCAATTTGATTTTAAACCCTCCATACAATGGAGTACATTATAATCACAAACCAAGTATGCTATAAAACTAACCGCAAAGCCAATGAAATTCTCTCTCTCTCAAGAATACAAACCATGAATACCAATCTAGAAATATGTATTTGGGAGATGCAGGAGCATTATTTAGATCATTATTATCTTTCTGATTATCTCCTTACATCTAATTTAAAGAACCTGTGGCCAGGTCTTCACTCAAAAATTAGCTCAACCCAGCTACGTCACTCAGGCATGTGAAAAATCCATTCTCATGAGTGACATAAGCCGACCTAACCCCTGGTGTAGACAGTGCTAGGTTGATGAAAAAATTCTTCCATTGACCTAACTACCGCCTCTCAGGGAGGTGGATTAACTATGCTGACAGGCAAGCCCCCCTCCCCGTCACTGTAGTGAGTGTCTACACTAAAGTGCTACAGTAGTTCAGTTCACTGCAGCTGTCCCACTGTAGCATTTCAAATGAAGACATAGCCAGAGTCCGAATGCTGCTGTAGTATTTTACTGAAAACTCTGAGAACCTTTGTCCTGAAGGACAGAAGAAGCCAAGAGATCTTTCTGCCTTGTTGCTAAAAGATTCTAAGAACTTCTCTAGTCTTAAAAAAGAAAAAAAGATCAACGTGGCAGGTTTTGGGTAATGAACGCTTTTGAAAATCAGGCTACTTATTTAAATGCCTAAATATGGGTTTACAAGTCAAATGTTAGGTATCCATTTTTGAAAATCTTGGCCATAGTGCTCAAAATGTCAGTAGCTACCTGAAGACCTCTCTACATGAGCGTTTCCACTCTTGCTACCTCCAGTGGGGCTGACCCAGTGTTAGCAATAGCAGTAAATTTTAGAGAAGAAAGACTAGTGGACACATAGTCGAGTATTGTGCATGCCCAAGACCAAAGCTGAGAGCATAGAGACCATTGTTCTGGTTGTTAAAATACTTTAAAACACAGCAACTTTAAAACTGTTTTAATGTAACAGTTACTGGGAATTTTGCCCAACTCAGTCTTAAAATGCTGGCGGTTTCAGTGTTTGCTTTCGCAATGTTCAGTGAGGGTGACACAATAGGAGTATGAAATGTTTTAAAGCACTTTAAAAATGTAAAGAGATGAACATAAATGCCATTATTACAATTGATTGATAACACAATGTGCACATATTTAGCATAAACCCCCTGAGCAACAATGGAATATGCTAGTATTTTCGGTTCATTTTAGAATAGTTTAAAGTGTTTTTAAAATGAATTGCCAGTAATTCTAACTTGTCCCCATTGCAGGTCAGTTATTATTTCCCACTGAAAACTTTATGGAGGTCCTTTTTTGCTGCTTTAGTGGCTGCATTCGTTTTGAGGTCCATCAATCCTTTTGGTAACAGCCGTCTTGTCCTTTTTTATGTGGAATACCACACCCCTTGGTACCTTTTTGAACTGTTTCCATTCATTCTTCTGGGGGTGTTTGGCGGGCTGTGGGGAGCATTTTTCATCCGTGCAAACATCGCCTGGTGTCGCCGACGCAAATCAACAAAATTTGGGAAATATCCTGTCCTGGAGGTCATCATTGTTGCAGCAATTACAGCTGTCATTGCCTTTCCTAATCCATACACAAGGCTCAACACCAGTGAGCTTATTAAAGAGCTCTTTACAGACTGTGGGCCATTAGAATCTTCCTCTCTTTGTGACTACAGAAATGACATGAATGCCAGTAAAATAGTAGATATTCCTGATCGTCCAGCAGGCACTGGAGTTTATTCAGCTATATGGCAGCTGTGTTTAGCACTTATATTTAAAATAATTATGACAGTCTTCACCTTTGGTATCAAGGTAAGTTTTAATGTAATGGATTTCTAGCTGTGATAGTTTAATTACTGCTCTTCTGCCTCTGTCTTTCACCCCAAAAAACAAGTTCTTTTATTTATAAATATACTATTTCAAAAGTAATGTTTTCTGTATTTCTCTTTATTGAGGATTATTGAAACAAACCTCCTAGAACACTGCTTTGATTTTACCTTTAAACTACCATTTTGCTCATATAGCTGAGGGATATGTTGAAATGTACATTGAGTTTTATGCAGTGCAGAAACCAGAGATTGATCTTTGGTGTGTGCCAAACTACTGGTGGTATTCCCAAACTACTGAGCTCAGCCCATTTCAGGAAAATGAAACGAATCATGTCCACCAACTCCATTATGTGATGCTAACGGTCTGCCTTTATGCACTCCTGCACCTGCCCCGCCCCCCCACATTCCCTGCCTAGTCCTTCTAAATGTATCAGAAATCTTAGATTAATTTACCAAATACATGTAACAACTAGAAGCTGACAAATTAAATCAATAGAGAGCTTGAAAAATCACTGACTGCTGTTTGCTTTTCTGGCATTTTCTATACTGAAAGACATAAATAGGAACTGGACTGTGTGCATGTGTGTGTGTAAAATGTTCCATCTACAGTCACCAAAAAACATGTTTTTCAGCTTTTTTTCTAAATCAGTTTCCCATCTTCAGTGGCAAGACCCCAGGGTTTCTGCAGCACACTGGTGCAGCAGACTGGAAATTTCTGTGGCAACTTCAAAGGTTTTTCTTTATTATATTTGATTCTCAATTTTTTCAATATGCTGCCAGTTTTTAATAACAATCCATAGCTGTGTCTTGGAAAGAATTATGTCGGGGGGAAGCTAGAGGTTTTAACAGCTAGGCTGGGGACTCAGGAGGGTGATGGGAGACAGTTTGCACTGTGGGACAAGCACTTTAACTGGATGTTGCTGCTAAAATGATAAGCAGTGAATAGCTAACAGCAGTTAAATCATTGGGGTAGGTTTCAAAGTTGACAATACTTTGAGATGAATGGAACAATAAACACCTCTCTAAAAGCTTTGGTTTCTGGCCGTTTGTAGACTCAGACAGAGCTTGATGAATTGATTTGCCTTTGGTTTACTTTTTTCAAAAGTTATATTTACAACTATAAATGTTGACAATGTAACTTTAAAATAAATAAATTCTGAGAGAGTTCTGTAGCAGGAATTAGATTTCACAGCGAAGTTAGTGGCTGTGCAATCGTATGATACACAGAGCTCTCAGGATGCCATGGTAAAAAATCAAGTGATATGTTTTATTAGGTACAAATCTTGTTACTTATTTCTTTTAAACCTTGTATTGGACCGAAAATCACCTACCTGTTTTTGGAGTATGTCAGAATTGGGAAAAAAACACATTGGATGCATTTAAAACTGACTTTGTCACCCGTGAACTCTAAAACTATGAACAATTTAAAATTTTCCTAGATTCAAAAGCATGCTACACGGTGCTTGTGTTGGGGTCTAACTGACCCTAGGTTTATATAATGAAAATAGATAGCAACAGATCAACATTAACAATATAAAAGGCACAAATGCAGCAAAGTGGCAGTAAATGGCCTACTGCTTTGAACAAATGGAGCAAATAGGTGATATATGTTCTGAACATACAAAGTGTTTAGACTTCACACATTTTTATGTGTTTTTCTCGTTCTGAGGAAAGATATTACATAGTTCTACTTTCTTAGGCTCCGGATCAGTATCCGGCACGCTAGACGCTGCTTCCCTACAGCAAGGCAGCAGTGTTTCTTTCCTGCACCAGTGGTTTCACCATTTCTGTACCTAGATCACTGAGAAACATCCATCTCTTACTCAAAGATTTATTATGGCATGCGGGATTCAACAAGCTCCAGATATCTGCAATCAGACATGCAATGTGCACATGTAATGCAACGCTGAGTCTTTGCCCCAGCAACAGCATCTGCCAAGTCTGGTCTTGCCAAAAAATTTATCTGACAATCATGGCTTCCCTAGAAACTCTTCCTAGCAACTAGCAAGTGTGTAGGCGTCCCAGAAAATCAATTTGTCAGTGTCATCTTCAAAGAAACTCAATTTCCTGGACAACTGTGATATATGAGACCAATGTTATCTGGGGTCTCAGTCTCTCAAGACCTTTTCAGTGCATTTTAATGAAAAACAAAAACTATTGAAACTACGATGATAGAAATAATGCTGAAAGATTAATATAATTGTTTTTATTTTGAGGCAGCAGTTATAATATAATCTCATGCAGGAATACCTGCACAATTAATTTGGGTTCTCACTGACTCCAATACCTTCTGAGTGATGTTTTTCACTACACTAACACTACAACAGGTATACAAAGCCAATGACCACACCACACCTTCAGCAGGGCAGGGGGGCATTCTCCAGCTTTCCAGGGGAAGGGCAATAGCGCTTTATGGGCAGTGCGGGGGAAGAGGCTCAGAGGTTGCTGCAAAAGGGGGAGTGGGTCAGCATGGTAATGCTGACTCATCCCCAGGGACCAGAAGGGCTGGGGAGTTGGAAAGGGGCAAGCCTAGTGGAAGGAAGCCTCTTTTCCCTGGACCAGCCAAAATAGCACCCACCCTCCCTCCCCTTGAGGTGGCAAAATGCCAGGTTTAGACAGGACCTGCTGTGGGCATCACACTAGTCATTCCTTTCTAGGGGGGCTGGGAAGGAATTTTTCCCTGCCTACCAGATTGGCCAAGGTAGTTTTTTTTTTTTTTTGTTCTCCCCCCCCACCCCCCGCCTTCTCCTCAGAGGGGGCTTTGCTAGGGTGAATAGGGAAGGAAGTTAAGCTATGATGTCACAACTCATGATGTAAGTGTGGGGCGGATGTCCAGTGCAGGTACTCCATAGTGAAGGGATACAGTGACCAGATAAAAAGAACAGGAGTACTTGTGGAACCTTAGAGACTAACAAATTTATTAGAGCATAAGCTTTCGTGGGCTACAGCCCACTTCTTCGGATGCATATAGAATGGAACATATATTGAGGAGATATATATACACACATACAGAGAGCATGAACAGGTGGGGGTTGTCTTACCAACTCTGAGAGGCCAATTAAGTAAGAGAAAAAAAACTTTTTGAAGTGATAATCAAGATAGCCCAGTACAGACAGTTTGATAAGAAGTGTGAGAATGCTTATAAGGGGAGATAGATTCAATGTTTGTAATGGCTCAGCCATTCCCAGTCCTTATTCAATCCTAAGTTGATTGTATCTAGTTTGCATATCAATTCCAGCTCAGCAGTCTCTCGTTGGAGTCTGTTTTTGAAGTTTTTCTGTTGTAAAATAGCCATCCGCAGGTCTGTCATTGAATGACCAGACAGGTTAAAGTGTTCTCCCACTGGTTTTTGAGTATTATGATTCCTTGGTAAAGGACTTAAAAAGGAGGTGTTTGTTAAAGGAGTGGAATCGGGGGTGGGGAGGCTTGGGGCTCCTTGACTGGCATAGCAACAAGCCAACCCCCCTTCCGTATAGCCCACCTTAACCCTCGTTCAAGAGGGGTGATGGTAAGGTCCCAGCAATGGGTTGTCTGGAAGACCTGGATGGAAAAAGAGGGGGGCTGGTGGAAACACCCAGGTACATATTGAATGAACATGGGGTTACCTGTGCTGTACACTTCTGTCTGTCGGATAGTCCCATACATCTAATAATAAAGTTGTGGCCTAATTAAAACTATATGAAATATCTTCTCTCCTTTAGCCAGGCGATATCAGGTGGTCCTGTCATCAGTATGAGAATACTTAAAGAAAGAAGCAGTGGTGGTTTGCCTATCATGTTTTTTTATTTAATTTTTTGTGTGTGTTTGGGGTCCAAGAGACCCCACCTTAGAAGAGAAGTACCTTTCATTTTCCCCAGTGACTAACATTGAGGGGTCTAACTGTGACACCATTACCTTTTTAGTGACTCTTCTGCTATACAAAAACCACAACCAGTGGGATGATAAAACCACTGTGGATAGATTGACCTCATCCTAGTTTGAACATAAGAACAGCCATACGGGGTCAGAACAAAGATCCATCTAGCCCAGGATCCTGTCTTCTGACTGTGGCCAATTCCAGCTGCCCCAGGGGGAATGAACAGAACATCCAGTGATCATCAAGTGATCCATTCCTTGTCACTCATTTCCAGCTTCTGACAAACACCATCCCTGCCCATCCTGACTAATAGCCATTGATGGACCTACCTTCCATGAATTTTTCTAGTTCTTTTTTGAAACCTGCTATAGTTTTGGCCTTCACAACATCCTCTGGCAAGGAGTTCCACAGGTTGATGTGCATTGTGTGAAAAAATACTTACTTTTGTTTTAAACCTGCTGCCTATTAATTTCATTTGGTGACCCCTAATTCTTGTGCTATGAGAAGGAGTAAATAACACTTCCTTATTTACTTTCTCCACACTAGTAATGATTTTATAGACCTCTATCATATCCCCCCTTAGTCATCTCTTTTCAAGCTGAAAAGTCCCAGTCTTATTAATCTCTCCTCATATGGCAGCCATTCCCTACCCCTAATCATTTTTGTTGCCCTTATCTAAACCTTTTCCAATTCCAATATATCTTTTCTGAGATGGGGCGACCACACGTGCACACAGTATTCAAGATGTGGGCGTACCATGGATTTATATAGATGAAATATGATATTTTCTGTCTTATTATCTATCCCTTTCTTAATGATTCCCAATATTCTGTTCGCTTTTTTGACTGCTGCTGCACATTGAGTGGATGTTTTCAGAGAACTATCCACAATGACTCCAAGGTCTCTCTTTCTTGAGTGGTAACAGCTAATTTAGATGCCATCATTTTATATGTATAGTTGGGATTATGTTTGCATTACTTTGCATTTATCAACATTGAATTTCATCTGCCATTTTGTTGCCCAGTCACCCTGTTTTGAGAGATCCTTTTGTAGCTCTTCGCAGTCTGCCTGAGACTTAACTATCTTGAGTCTCAACTCAACTCAACTATCTTTGAGACTACTTAATGTATGAAGAGGCACAGGTTTGGCACGAAAATTTGTATTTACACTTTTGTTTGTGTGTTGGGGTCAGATAGACCCCAGAGCATTAGGAGGGTTCAATTAAATGAATATATCCTATTTTAGCCAAGAGGGGAGGGATATATGTATAGTAAGATTTGTAGTTCAGCCAATATGTGTAACATTTCCAGCATTGCTGACAGCCTTAAGGAGCAGTAGCAGTGCATTTCCAGAGTTTAATGAGACATTTAGACACAAGTATGTCTTTTCAGAGAGAACATTTGCTCCTCGGAGAGGAGAAAAGATGAACAGCAGCAGTTACGCTGCTGAATCGTCACAGTTCTTAATGCTGCTGGCATAAGTAAGGTTTTTCTCTGCTTCTTTTATGAATCACACAGTGCCAGACAAACCTGCATCTCTAGGTCCTGGTAATGAATAGGAAAATCGGCGCTTAAATGAAGGAAGCAACAAAAATCACAATAGGTTTGTGACTGTAGGATGGACTGTGGTGTTTGCCTGGAGAACCAAGTTCATGGTTCTACCTTAATGACAGATTGAGCCTTAAATAAAAAATACATAAAATGTAAAGGAAAGATAAACATACTGAACCTTCAATTATATGAGTATTTGGGTATCTTTTTATGTTAAATTCTACTAGCTTTACAATGGAAGTTCATGTACCGACTACCCCGTAAGTGGCAATTGGAGTGTTTCTGTCTGTTTCATTTTCAAACTTCCGGTCAGCTTTACTTTTCCAAACATATATAAGTTCTTTTTCCATGTACTTGTCTTGTGTGAAGTAGCTCTCCAATAATAAGACTTTAACAAGTCCCATGTATTTTAAATCTTTACCATGCTAGCAGTTCTTTTGTTTCTGTTATAGGTTCCATCAGGTTTGTTCATACCTAGTATGGCAATTGGAGCAATAGCAGGAAGGATTGTGGGAATTGCAGTGGAGCAGTTGGCTTATTATCACCATGACTGGTTTATCTTCAAGGAGTGGTGTGAAGTTGGAGCTGACTGTATCACGCCGGGCCTATATGCCATGGTTGGTGCTGCTGCATGCTTAGGTAACTAAATTATAACACAACAAATAAGAGCCTGATTTCTTTTCTGTTATTGAACTAGATAAGTTTAGGGGTGAAGGAAAAAAGTTGTACTTACTGAAGACCAAGTACAATATTAGAGGAGCTTCTTACATAGAAGCATACATATGTTTTGTTTTAATAGGAAAACGTGCATATCTTTACAGGAAATCATTATGAGCTGAATACTAAAAAAGAACATAAGAACAGCCATATAGGGTCAGACCAATGGTTCATCTAGCCCAGAATTGTGTCTTCCAACAGTGGCGAAATGCTTCAAAGGAAATGAACAGAATAGGGCAATCATCAAGCGATCCATCCTATGTGCAGCCCCAGCATCTGGGAGGCAGAAGCTTAGGGACACCCAGAGCATGGGTTGCATCCCTGAACATCTTGGCTAATAGCCATGGATAGACCTATCCTCCATGAACTTACCTAGTTCTTCTTTGAGTGCTTGCTCATGTCCATTCCGTGTTAAGTGTGTGTGCTTGCCACATGCACCAGTGCCGGAAGTTTTTCCCTCAGTGGTCTTCTGTGTCTCAGTGGTCTCAGTAGGTGACCAGCTCTGGCACTCTACGGAGTGGCACGCATGCGCTGGTGTACGGGGCGCTGCCGGCTCCCCCCTCCCTCGGTTCCTTCTTACCGCCAGTGACAGTGCTGGAACATCTCCTTGTTTCGGCAAGCGTTCTCTACCCAGTGTTTATTTTTTTTTCCTATCGCTCATTGTGTAAATAGTTCTTAGATTGCATTGTTCTCTTAATAGTTAGCTTAACAGTACTGTAGAAAAGTTAGATAGTCCCCTAAGGGATTTAGCCCAGAGACAGGGCATGCCCCAGTCCCTGGGCTTCAAGCCTTGTGATTGCTGCAAAAAGCCTATGCCAGTCAGCGACCCTCATCAAAGCTGTTGAAGTGTTTTGGGGAAACCTACATTAGCAATAAGTGTCACATCTGCAAAAGCTTCAAGCCAAGAACTAAAAAAGAGTGGGACATAAGACTCAGAGCTCTCCTCATGGAGTCGGCCCTCGCGCCGATCTCTGAGCCGCTGAGATTGGACTCCGCACCGAGCACCATGGCAATGGTGCAAAGTGCGCCTCTAGCACTGGCCCCCGACGCCGGTCCTGTCTCCAGTATCTGCTAAAAAGCAGAGAAAGCACACCAGGAGAGGGTGCTCCCCGACATCTTATACTGGGAAGGGAAAGTCCAGAGAGGAGCATAGGCGCGTGGGGCAGCATGTCTCCAGAGCTCAGCCAGACACCTCCATCGCCGCCTAGGCTATCCAGCAATCTTAGGGACCCACCAACCACCCCGGGTAGTGGCAGAGGTGCCTGGCACCTGGAGGTTCTACAGGGACAAGGACGAACTCCCTGACCCAGTCTTCTCTGCATTCTGGACTACTTGCTTCACTTAAAACATCAAGGCCTGGCCTTCTCCTCGATCAAGGTGTGCCTGGCAGCCATTTCGGCCTTCTATCCCCGCATCCAGGGCAGGTCAGTATTCTCGCATGAAATCAAAATCAGGTTTCTTAAGGGCCTTGAAAGACTTTTTCCAATGGTACAGGACCCAGTGCCCCAATGGGACCTCAACTTAGTCCTCTCGAGGCTCCCTGGCCCTCCCTTTGAGCTTCTAGCCTCCTGTTCTTTCACATCTGATGGGGAAAGTTGCTTTCCTTGTGGCTCTCTCTTCAGCAAGGCAAGTCTCCGAGATTAAAGCCCTTCCTGAACCTGAATCATGTCCCTGTTGATTGTGCATTGTGTGAAAAAGCATTTGCTGCTGACTATTAATTTCATTGGGTGACCTCTGGTTCATGTGTTGTTTGAAGGGGTAAATAACACTTTTCTGTTCACTTTCTCCGCACCATTCATGATTTTACAGACCTCTGTCATATCCTCCCTTAGTCATCTGTTTTCTGAGCTGAACAGTGCCAGTCTTATTAATCTCTATTCATATGGAAGCTGTTGCATACCCCTATTTTTGTTGCCATTGTCTTTACCTTTTTGAGTTCTAATATATCTTTTTTAAATAGAGTGACTATAATTGCATGCAATATTAAAGGTGTGGGCATACCATGGATTTATATAGTGGCACTATAATATTTTCTATCTTATTATCTATCCCTTTGCTAATGGTTCCTAACATTTTGTTAGCTCTTTTTGACTGCCGCTGCACACTGAGTGGATGTTTTCAGAGAACTATCCACAGTGACTCCAAGATCTCTTTCTTGAGTGGCAACAGCTTCGACCTCATCATTTTGTATGTATAGTTGGGATTATGCTTTCCCATATGTATAACTTTGCATTTATCAACATGGAATTTCATCTGAATTTTGTTACCCAGTTTTGTGAGATCCTTTTGTAACTCTTTGCAGTCTGATTTGGATTTAAATGCAAAGTTTAAGTCGCTTTTAATATATAGATTAATTATATGCTGTGAAATATAAGACTTTAAATACTGCAGTCCACTTTTTCTTTGGGGCATTGAGATGTTACTGAGCCCTTACTCGGAATGATATGTAATTTTCCCCATAGTTACAGGTTTGTAAATTAAAAGCTGTTGGAATTATTTAGAAGTATTAGATTTGTACCTGCTGCTGTTTCTGTATTTGTTACTAAAATGTTTTCTTGAGAATACATAATAAGGTAGGCAAAGAGTTTCAAGAGGGTCTAGTGATTTGAAGGGTCCAACTTGAGATGCTATTAAGGAGCTCATTTTCAGAAAATGCTGATCAACCACCTTCTGAAAATAAGGCCCTTTGATGGTACAGTATCTCGAGTTGGGCACCCAAAATAAGTACAGACTTTGAACAGATTGGCTTGAATTAAAATTTTGAAAAGCCATTTATACAGTTTCTTTAAAAAAGAAATCATACCAGTAAATAATCAGATGAGCAGGGTGGGACAAAACTGACAGGCTGACAACAACCTCATCGTAATCTTATTTTAAAAAATCCAAAATTTACTTTGAACCTCTTTACTTGTATGCGTAGAAAGAATCTGATATAATTCCAGTTCTTCCTGAATGCGTTCTATCAAATGAAGAAATATTAACTACCACAGGGTTGCGGAAGCAAAAATCTTATCAGTTAATTTTTAGGTGGAAAGGAATATTTCAGATGTTCTCATAAATGTATATACTGTTGATGCTGTTATCCAGCAGGACCTTCATGATTTACAAGAGAGGAAAAATTGCTATTTACTGCATCTTCACCGGTTGTTCAGAGAGGAGGTAATTTTAGTCAGTTCAGGGTTCTCTTTAGAGTTTTCACTTGGAAAAAAAAAAATTCAGTTAGTAATCCCTTTAAATGTGCAGCTCTTATATTGCTTACCATGGGTTGCCTTTTTACAAACAGTTTTAGTGTTTTTGCCAAATGTTGAACTTTGTGGGCTTCCTTAACCTTCTCCTTCATTATTTTCTTTAAAAAACTCAGTAAAGTGTCTTGGCAAAAATAAATCCATCATTATAAGGATTATTTCAAGGTATTGGATTATTAGTTAATTTATATGACAAAATCAAGCATATGTTTTCTTTCTTAAGACAATCTATGTTCAGTTTTTCAGGGGTCTGTCAAATGTCCTCAATTATTTCTTGAGATTTAGCATGCATTGATTGCTATACCTGTTGCTATTAACAGACTAATCATTTGTTGAAGTCTTTATTGACAGGTCAGTACTTGGCAGTTGACAGGAGATCTGGAAATTCCTTAGCTGGGATATTCTCTCGTACTAACATGTTGATAGGCTCCTTTTTTCTTGCAGGTGGTGTGACAAGGATGACTGTCTCCCTAGTGGTCATTGTATTTGAGCTCACAGGTGGGCTGGAGTACATTGTACCTCTCATGGCTGCAGTAATGACCAGTAAGTGGGTGGGTGACGCCTTTGGTAGGGAAGGCATCTATGAAGCACACATCCGGCTGAATGGCTATCCTTTCTTGGATGCTAAAGAAGAATTCACTCACACAACACTGGCTGCTGACGTTATGAGACCTCGAAGAAGTGATCCACCCTTGGCAGTGCTGACACAGGATAACATGACGGTGGAAGATATAGAAAACCTGATCAATGAAACCAGCTATAATGGTTTTCCTGTTATAATGTCAAAAGAGTCTCAGAGACTAGTGGGATTTGCTTTAAGGAGAGACTTAACTATTGCAATAGGTAATTATTTTACAGTTCTATAAGATCATACGTTCTCACTCAAATGCATTAATACTTTAAAACAGAATTTATTATGTATGTCTTAATTTTGTACCTGAATGTTTCGTGTGTTTTATAGTCCAGATATGTAGCACAGACTGTTTATTCCTCTCCCATCACCTTGATCAGGATGCTTAGAACTTCTTTTTACAGTGGTGTCTTGAAATAATAGGTTCTGAAACAGGGCACACTTCCATAAAAACCATGGCAGTTGCCACACTGGAACAGACCAATAAACCATCTAGTTCAATACTCTATTTTCAGCAATGGCCAGTGCTGGATGCTTCAGAAGAAATTATGAAACAATGGACCTAATTGTGCAATATAGTACCATGGATGGAAGAAAGATGTCATTTATTGCCACTCCCATAGTTTTTGTGGCTTTGTGCCAACATGTCCTCACCTGAGATGAAACTGTTAGAACGTGTCTTCAGTACCCCTGTAACAGGGGCTTGGGTGGCTGGGTGGCTTAGTGGTGAGATCGCCTGGCTGTCAGCCCCTGCTGGCTAAATGGCCTCAGCCTTTAAGGCTGGGGTGGGAGGCAGGGGACCTTCTCCCCCAGGTCCCAGCCCAGGGAGGACCCTTGAACAGGGGGATTGGTGTCCCTCCTGGCAGGGAGTCAGAATCCTCTCCCCTGGGCTACTTCCTACCAGTCTGTTCAGTTTGGGGTGTGGCCCCTCTAGTCTGTCTACCGGGCGGCTTGCATCCCCCAGGATTCCCTCTAGGGTCCGGATGGTACCTTGCTGTGGTCCCAGGCTCCTTCGGTGGAGCAGTCACAAGCTGGTGAGGGCAAGTCCCACAATTGTCTCTGGGGTTCACTCAGTCAGTTACTTCCCGTACTGGGGATTTCCACTGCAGTCTCCCTTGACCGGGAAACCAGTCCTCCATCCCTTCAGGCAGAAAGATAGCTAGCTCCTGCCACTTCATCAGTCAGCCCCTAACTGAGCCAGCCTTCTTTCTTTTATCCCCTCCAGGCCTGGCATTGGCTGCAGGTATAGTGGGGCGGGGCTAACTGGGCCCAAAGGCTTTCTTGAACCCCCGCTGTGCTGGCTGGTGGTTTCTCTGCTTCCTCACAGCCCCATTATCATCATTTTCATGCTGCAGAGTTCTCTGGGAAATATTGCCTGAGTCACCCCTCTAAGGCCACCTGAATCTGACCTCAAACTTAATATAAAATTTTATACGTTACTATAAACCCCTGGGCTGTTTTATGAAGTTTGATTCAAAAGTTAGAAAGGTTAGACCAGTTTTGGCATTACAGCCATGTCAAACAGGTGGGTTTTTTTTACAGTAACAAGGTGTACTGTCAGTAAATGTCTAATACTGTAATTGATTTTTCTAATCAGTTTCATGTCAGAACACCACACTCTGCTTGAACCCGCTTAAATATAGTGATTTGATGTGTAGTATTTTTGAATGTACATGCCGTAAATTGGAACATAGCAAAATTATTCATTTAAAGAGACATAACACTTATGCCTGAAAATGTTGTACCTATTATTATTATAGTCAACACCAAATACTCCCTGTAACTGAAAGACTAGAGGAAAATAAGTTATTTTAAACAATTTTTTCAATTTGTTCACTTTAAGTGAAATTCATCTGTGCAAGGGGCAGAATTCAAATTCTATATATATTTGATTCTTATCAAGATGCCGGTAATCTAGGACTAGGTACCTCAAAATGTAAATGAAAGTTTAATTTCAAACTGTTGTCTTTCATTTACGTTTTGGAGTACCTAATACTAGATTACAGGCAAAGATATTTATCTTTATAAGAATATTTTTTTCAGGCAAGATTCATTTTACCATCTAAATTACACAGTGGAAATTATTCAGTCTTAAATTTGTATATCAAAAGAACCGCTCTTGGAAATGATGTGAGTAGGGAAGCTTATGTCCAAAAATGAGGGAAGACTGAAAAGGGAAGGACGATTTGGCACAAATAAGCAAATTACACAGATTCATAGGAACAAATAGAGAACATTTGATCAGTTTTAATGTGGGTAACTTTAGCGCCCTCGTGGTCAAGATAGAGTCTGCTCTGCAGGCAGCTCTGGCCAAGAGAAGGCGCATGCAGGGAAAGTCCCTTCCACCCTCCGGGCACCTGTTCCAAACCCCCCAGAGTGACCATACATACACAGGAAGAGCTCTGATTTGTCCTTGTCGGGCGATTCCTCCCTGGCACAGTGCTGCTCCTGTCATGGGGTGTCCCTGATCGGCAGCTGTGTCCCTCCCAGGCTTCGGGAGGTTCTTGGCTGCTTCCCTCTGTGAGGGCCTGCTTGCTGCAGCCCTTCTGTCTGGAGCGCCAGACACGCACACCCTGTTGCTCTCCCCTCTCCTGCTCCCCCTCCCACCAATAGCACGTCCTCCTTCTGGAACAATCAGCACTTCCCTCCCCCCCCCCCCCCCCCCGGAAAAATATTTAAAGGGGACATGCTCTCTAAAACCCCTGTTATACCCAACATTACATGACAAACCTTGGCAGCGTTACCACGTGAGTGCAATTTCTTCCGTGCAGTGGTCAGACATGTGCTTCTTCCACAATAGATCTTCTCCTCCTCCCTTTTATTGTAAATGAAAGTTATTTATTGTACTGAGGGAAATCCCACGCAATGTATACAGCAGCCACTATTTAAAAACAAAACAAAAAACCATTCCCATGGTATGGCACAAATATATCAGTGTAGTAAACAAGCAATAGGAAATAAGTCATTTGTTTACTTTTTTTAATGGCACTTACTGTATATTAAGTCTCCTTAGGCTTCCAAAAGTTCTCTCGGAGTGACAGGGAAGGAGAATGTTCTAAACTTTCAATGTGCCCTCCCTACTCCAGATTTGAAGCTCAGTTGATGGTGTTTTATGACTTTCCATACAAATAGTTTGTTCCTTGGAATACTGAAATGAACTTTCCTCATGTGTCATATGAGCACCCCATTCAGTCTCCTTGGCACCCTCATAGGAATGTGCTTTGGCTTCAGCAGCGGAGGGATGTGGTAACAATAGGACCATCAATGTGAGTGCACACTATTGAGACAGTCCTCTCACTCTTATGAAACCCATCTGTTTCTGTGCACTACACAGATAGTGGCTGCCTACTGCCTAAGACGTTATTAAATAGCATGTATATTGCCCAAATGGTGGTAAAGATTTGTTCCACTGCATGCCAACATGCATATTTGAGATCTTCACTATATTACATTAAAGGCAGAGTATGACTGAAAGTCATATAGTCTGATGTCTCTTCTGCTGGTCTCTGTGAAGTGCATGTATTGGAGAGAAAAGAGCTGATTGTGAAAACAAAACTTCAGAATAGTAAACAGGATGAAATCTAGTTGGAGTCTGATGCCATTCACTGAACTTGCAAGTTGCACTAAATCCTTTAAATCCAAGAATGATTTTTTTCTCTTTTTATTATAGAAAGTGCTAGAAAGAAGCAGGAAGGTATTGTTGGCAGTTCCAGAGTCTGTTTTGCCCAGCATACTCCATCACTTCCAGCAGAAAGTCCTCGGCCTTTGAAACTTAGAAGCATTCTTGATATGAGCCCGTTCACCGTGACAGATCACACACCAATGGAGATAGTGGTGGATATTTTCCGCAAGCTGGGTCTGAGGCAATGCCTTGTAACACACAATGGGTGAGTACAGCAGCAGAAACACTGTTCATTTGGTCAGATGTAATACTGGTGACTAGTGTAACATGCTGACAACTTAAATTTAATTCCTATGTGATTCAGGCCTATCACATTTAATGACCTCGTTGCAGTCTGACCTCAGCAATGGACAGCCTGTAGCTGAGCCAGAAGTTGAACTTTTCTGGTCAATTTCAGTTGCTGGTGAGAGACTGGAAATGCCAGTTAAAAAGCTGCAACTCACTACAATTGTTCCAACAGGAACGACTTTGAAACAAAAAATTCTATCAGAATGAAATAGTAAATAGTTTGACAAATAACCATTAAGAACTAAAATTGCATGCAAATTCAAGGGAAAAGCTCATTTCATCTCTCTTCCTCCCCTCTTCTCTGTACTCCTGTTCTGACATTGTCCATTTGCGACCAGTCAAAAATGGGCTGCGAAGAGCAAAAGCATAGTAAAAAAAAAAAATCAAACTGGTTTATTTTACCTTTATACGGCCTTATTTTTCTATTTTGAAGTAACAGGTATAAAATGCATGATAATGGGATGTTTTCTTTTATTCCCACTGGTTTCCTTGTGAGGCAGGGGATGGGAATACCTAACTTACTACACTGAAAGCTTGTAATGAGCTACAGCATCTTCCTCTTTCTACTGTGAACCAATAAGTAAAAAGTAATTCTCCATTGCCATCCATGTAAAAATATCTATATTCTGTTCCATAAACACTATAAATTCAAATCCATTATGCTTTGTTTTAAAGAAAATACAAAATGGTTATAGGATATTTTTTCAGATTTTAAGGCCAAAAAAGGAAGCATTATGATAATCTAGTCTGACCTCCTGTGTAACACAGGCCATGGAATATTTCCCAGGACCAGGGAGTTCCATGGGATTAGAACTGATCCCTCTGGCACTGCAAATAAGGGCAATACCCATAAGCCACCAAGGGTCTGAGTTCTGTCACTTTCATTATAGGTTTTTCTCTTCCCCATGCCCCAAGTGTATGTCTAGGCTGCAATTAGACAGGCCAGCTGACTCAGGATAAGGGGCTGTTTAATTGCAGTATAGACATTCAGGCTCGGGCTGCAGCACAAGCTCTGGAACCTTCCCATCTCACAGGGTCCAGCGCTCCATCCTGAGCCCCAGTGTCTACATTGCAATTAGATAGCCCTTAACCCAAGCCCCAGTCATCTGGCATGGGCCAGCCATGGGTTTTTAATTGCAGCGTTGACATACCAGGTATTAATAGACACATTTTTTTAAATAGTCTCTCAATCAGTGCCCCCAGTTCTGCACACACAGTTAATTCAATTGCACTTGCAAGAGACAGAATTTGTCTAGAACAAATTGGGTCTTCTGTGAGGCACAATAGGAGGCCCAGATTTTCAGGTTTGTATTTTTGTGTTCACATTGTACTGAATGCTTCAGCTGTAGATATGTGATCTGCAAATGCATGGGGAAAAAAAGGCTCTCAAACTTTTAAGAGAAAATGTGCCCATTTATCATCAATATCTGCACGTTTCACAGTGGAGATTAAAAGCCTGTGGTTTAAAATATCCTCAGAGCTTTGGTTCTGGCATATTAGGAGCCAGGTAGCTATTACTTAGTTTTAAAAGTTCAAGCCAGAACCATTTTTGTTTTCTGAATTTCAAAACATACTTCAAAAATATAACTTTAAGAATGAGAATGTATATATGAGTGGGACTATGGGGGCTTGTCATCACATCGTGATCTGCCAGCTAAATAAATAAAAAAATAAATAAACTTTTCCTTTTGCACTGTTTAAAGGCTTGTTATAATTGCCGACTTTCTAAAATAAACTGCTCCTCTTTCTGAGGGACTGTTCATTTACTTTACACTTCGCTTTCACGTACCTTCCGTGTGAAATATATGAAATATAATTAAATGTAGCGATCTCTGACACAGTTGTCATGCTTTCCCTTTAGTATACATTTAGTAGACACCTAAGAAGTGGAGTATTCCTTACTAATTTCATGTTGTTTAGCATGAATGACTGTGGGAGGATAAACTAGAGAACTAAAATATTTGGGTGGAGGGTTTTTGTTTTGTTGTTGGCAAATGGACTGCTGCTATGAATTATTTATTTTTAAATTGCATTATTCAGATGATGCCAGCTTGGAAGCATGATTAAAATGCATTTGCTTCAAATTTGTTCTTTAACACATGCATATACTGAAAGAATAGTGGGAACTTTCTGAAACTTAAATAGCTTCCTAAAAGCCTTTCTACTTCAGGGCAAGGGACTCTCTCACTATCAATTTTAAGTCAGTGTACGTGTCTAATTACATTCCTGGAACCCAATTTGGGGAAAGAAATCTGCAATGCTAAAATTTCTGGGAGAAATATTTATATTGAGCTGTCCAGTACTATAAGTAGCTTCTACTGCAGCTTAGAGCTCAAATACAGGAACCTAATAATTGTTTTGGTATAGTCGTTAATTATAAAGAAAGGTTAACCACGCAAAAATAAAGTCAAACTCTAGTATGAATTTTAAACGGTTGCTTTCAGCATAAATTAGTGGAAAATGTGGAATGCTTCACTAATCAGCTGCGTTGTAACAATAACCATTTTTGTCCTCTTGCTTCAGCTTGTAAACTTGTTACTTTGTGAGCTCAGTGTTCACTACGGGTCAAATTTTAAACCTAGTTTGTGATGCTTCGGGTAATGGGAGTAGCAAACTGTCAGGTAGACAGAAAGGGCTAATGTACTCTAAATTTTGGCAAAAGAAAAACTGGTAACAGAATCTGTAAATCAAATATGGTCTCAAAAGGCAGCCTCCCATTTTATTAAAACAAGTTTGTGCAACAATAACATGTTACAGTATCAGAGGGGTAGCCGTGTTAGTCTGGATCTGTAAAAAGCAACAGAGAGTCCTGTGGCACCTTATAGACTAACAGATGTATTGGGTGGGTTCACCCACGAAAGCTTATGCTCCAATACGTCTGTTAGTCTATAAGGTGCCACAGGACTCTTTGTTGCATGTTACAGTTTGGACTAGGAAGCTTGCATTAATTGATAGTTGTGATAGTAAATTAAGGACTATTGGGAAGTGCATAGAGAGTAGGTTTAACTTGTTGATTTACACTAATGAATTGATTCAATGAGCCACTCCTGATTAAAAATTGATTTGAGTGGAGAATTAGGCCCACTATGGCCTGGGCTACAGCTCAGAATGATTTTACTGCATAGGGTAGCTTCAAACGCACTATTTCTTTGACTTTCTAAAATCCATAGTTTGATTTTAGTCTTGGTCATCTACTGTGACAGGCTAAAATTTTAGCTCCCAATGTTTATACAAGCTTAGAAGTAACTGCTGAAAGAAGGAAGTTAAAGTAAATTTCAGTTTCAATATTTTTTATAACTGGGAGATATATGAATGGATATTCAGGCAGGTGAATGTGATAATGGTAAACTTACATCCATATTTGAATATATTACTCTAAGGTTAAAGATGCATTTTTTGTGCCATGTAGAAAATGAACTAACAATTTCTGTGAAAGGGTACTGATTGTCAAATCACTCTTCATTTAACTACTTCATTATTAGCGTTCTTGCAGTCCATGTTTTTTCATTTTACTCGACTCTAAACCTTTCTCATTATGATTGGAAGTTTTTTTTTCATTTGATTCACACAGTTATTAGCATAACATGATCTGTTTCAGGATTGTCTTGGGGATCATCACAAAGAAGAACATATTAGAGCATCTCGAGCAACTAAAGCAGCACGTCGAACCCTTGGTGATTAGATATATCAGATCTCCTAATTAGACATGTTAGAAGTCAGGAAGCATGAAACTTGTGAACTGTTCAGTGTTCTCTTACAATGACATCAGCTGAACAACAAAAATCTTCCTGTGCAACAAATACAATAATTTGTATTAAGGAGATTTTAATGTAAAACATTTGTAAAAACTAAGTTGTTAATACAGACATACTGCTACATCAGCTAAAAATTTGCTGTTAATCACAACATTAAAATAAAGTTAGAGAGATCAAATATCAGAAACTTGATTTGATATTCTTGAAAGGATGGGAAATGATTATATTATGCCAGATGGGAAAAGGCTGAGCTCGGAAACTCTTTCCTTTTCCTTTTTTGTTAATACATATTAAGATGCTTTTGTATTAAAACTTAAAATATTCCTTTGTCAGATCTTGGCAGCTTTAAATAGTTGATCAAGCCAAAAAAATCTATTTAGTTTTCTGACAACCAAACCAGAATGTAATTTGTACTTAGTGTAGCATTAGACCTTCCTCTGCTATGCCCCATGTGTCTGCATGCTTCTAAAGAGCAGTCCTTTATTTTTGTTATGCACTGTATGTCTTGCTGCTGTTATCTGTAGCAATCAGTGTCCCTTCATAAGATGTCTAGTTATGTCCTAAGCCGCTGAATGGCTTGTTAATATTTTTACTAGTGGCTTCCTAATCTAAATATAGTATTACACTAAGATGTTGTGATCTAACGTTAGTTATAACTTAGAAAATATCTTAATTTGGACGTTGGTTGCTCCGCAGTTGTTGTATCTGTACTAAACCTGCCCTCCAAATGTAGCTGCTTATGTGCAAAACATGTTAATTGTTTTCACCTTTTATTTTAATATTTCACAAGTATTTCATGCCTCCTTTAAAACAACAAAACGAAAAGTACTAACAGATTAACAAGATCAGCAGCTCATTCTTTCTGCTTTCTGCTTCTCCTGTGATATTATCCTTTAGGGCAGCTTCACTCTTTTTGATATAACACACAGTTATATTCTTAATCACTATTAAGACCTTTTCATAAGAGCACAGCATTTAAATTATAAAATGTGTACTATTAAACTTGGTAATTTAAACTATTAAATGTGTCTATTAAAATTGGTAGTTTCTTTATCAGTTTACTTTGTAAGGTTCTAAACTTGAAAACAGAACATCTGTTGATTATTTTGCTTAAATTATGCTCTCAACTGTTTGTGCTCTTATGAAGATACCAGACTAAGCCAATATGTTAGCCTGGAAAGATCCTCTAAATTTAATTTTTTTAAAAAGTTTGATTTGGTGTCAAGGTTTTTGGCCATCAAGCAATTTGTGACTTTTGGTGGCTAGTTTGGAGCATATTTTCTTTTTGAAATGGGATCAATATCACTTCCTATTCATACCTCTTTCGTTCTTTGTTCTTTGTTACTTTTTTGTTGGCATACGTTAATCAAAATTTCATTTTGTAGAAACAAAAATTAAATATAAATGGGCTTGGACTCTGCTTGCATTACTTGCATATCATGAAAAATGGATTACAGCTTAGTGACCATCCTATTTGGTGCCTCCACACTGCTCTCTTTTAACAAAATGATGGTTACTTGATATTTTTATTCATAAAATGTTTTCATTTAAACAAGAAAATCAGGCTATTTGCTCTATTCCTGTCAACAAAAAGGACTTGGCTACAGATTTAGTTCTGTTTCTTTTCTCTTTTAGAGTAATAGCCATTTTCTATTTATCCTTTTCAGGCGCCTCCTTGGCATTATAACAAAAAAAGATATCCTCCGTCATATGGCCCAGACGGCAAACCAAGACCCCGCGTCAATAATGTTCAACTGAACCCCATAGCTGAGGAGAGAGAGGAAACTGAAGAGGAGGTTCATTTGTTGAACAGTACAACGCTTTAGCCTGAGGGATTCTTCTGTGGTTGGAAATGAGAGCTGGATTTTTGCATAACAGTGCTGTTAGCATTCAAGAGTTGGTCTGGGGGAGTGTGGAGAGGAGGAAGAGTGATTTCCTCACTGTAACACGGGGAGAGTGAACCTCTGCTATCCTGCACTGGATGCGTTCCATGATGACAGATCTGCCATGATAGTGCAGTGCGAAAGCTGGATCAGAAGACCGAATTCTCCAACCCCTAGCCTAGTATTGAAGAGCTGCATTGTTAGTCCCTGTTTCCAGAGGGATCACTTGAATTGAGCCATCTTTTGAAGACTGCAAGGTCTTGCCCTTTTTACCATTGAAAACTGTTGTGTTAACTCATGAAATATATAGTTATTATACATCACCTTTCTACATTCCAGAAGAGCTTTTATTTCTCTCTCTCTCTCTCCCTCTCTCTCTCCTGAGCCGTAACAAAGCCTCTTTAAAATTGGTGTGCCCTTCGGAAGCAGTAGTTTCTCATATTGAGATGTACTGTGACTTACCAAGGTTTGATCACAAGAAGGGAGTTGTTTTGTGCCATTAAACGTAGTTTGTACATCATGAAATGCTTGGGGCAGTATGGATCTGCTTCAGCAAAAGCAGAATGAACAGGTAATACCTTGTATGAAGCATGTGTAAATTTTGCAATCTTAGGTGCTGCGATTTCAGAAAAATTAAAAATAGATGAAACTCGAGTTTCTAGGAAATTTTTTTGCTGCAGAATATATCAATAATGTGACCTGGTCTTATGCAATTTTTGTATTATTGAAAATACTGACATATACCAACGTTGTGCAGAATAAGGAAAAAGTACTGCTACTCTGATAACTAAGAACAGGAACAATTCTGTACCATCTGATGGTAATTGCATGCGGAAACACTGGACATATTTTTTACATTAAATTAAAATCAATCATCTTTAGGTTTTTTTCCACACAAAGATGTTCCACTGCTGACACTGAAGAAAGAAATGTAATTCATAACTTGCACTAAATGTATATTTTTTCTTGAAATTTTACCATTCTTTATTTATATTTTTATGGATTAAAATATATTAAAGACAAATCAGTTAATATCTTACGTAACTAATTCTACCTTTCCATTGATTTTTATAGAGTAATTCAAAATCCTCTACACATAATGGAGGGTTGGGAAGAAGTTTACAACTTGATGAAGGATTTAAAAAAAGTAATGACTTCTTCATGATCCTAACACACGCATAATAGCATTTTCAAGCCTCCCTTTCACTGCCATAACCTTGAGGTGTCCATTTGTTTATTATTACAAAACAGAATAAAACTACAAATACTCTTTTTAAACACTGCAGGGTTTTAACAATAATAGAATTAATTATTAGGGCTGTTGTGACTGACTCTTGTTTAAGAATCTAGAAATGTACTGGCTGAAACATCAGCTGAAATGTAGCTTTTTAGAAAACAAAACAAAAACTTACTTGAAATGTTGAGTGGGTTTTAAACTCCAGCAGCAACACACACTTTAGCAGGCTGACAGATTCAGAACATTTTTTTTTCTTTTGAGAAAACCTATCTTAATCCTTAGCTGAACATGTTTATCTATCAGGTTTAAAAAAAAATACCACACACAAAGAAAAGGCAATATCCCAAGAAAGTATTGTCCCCAAAAGGAAAACTATAAAGTAGTGATGGGGCAGTTAAAATCTGATGGGTAGATTAAATTCATGTTTTGGTATGTTCATTACATTTATAACTTGAAATTAGGGACAATGACCTCCTAATGTTAATATTCCCCTAAAACTACGAAATAACAGGTTAAAAAAATGTCTATCAAACTTAGCTACTTTTAGCACTTGTTGTCTTGAGGGCACTGATTCAGAAAAGCACTAAATAAGTGCTTAATTTTAGCATAAGTAATCCCACTGAAGTCTATAGGACTAGTAGCATGCTTAAAAGTAATGCATGTGTTTATGTGCTTCTCTGAATCAGGACTGATTATAAAACTGTAATGAATGTTTGAATTCTGCTGTCTCTGACCTCTGGTCCCAGTAGAAAACATACTACTTTTCTGCAGTGCCTATTGTGTGCTCACTATGGTCAGCCCCTTTTTAAAAGTTGGTTTGGAACTAAAGCAGGGAACCAAGCTACTATTGAAACGGCAGTTTTGCAACTAACTAACTTTAATTTTCTAATTGAAGCAAATATGTAATGGGTCAAATTATGCTGTATTACAGCTGTTGAACCATTACATGAGTCTGAAACAGTGTACTAGTTTTCTCTGGCTAGTCCTGATTTCAACTGATCTGAGCGCAGGATTTGGCTTGCCTGTAGAAGGCAGTTCAGGAGGTTGCCTGTGATGCTGCCTTTCATCATCCAGCTAAAACTTGTTGGTCTATCTTGTAGTTGAAAGATATAAACATAACATGCTTTTATTTAAAAAAAAAAAAAAACCCAAATTTTTTAATCACTTTGAAACCCCACTCCCACTCCTGCTGCTAACTTTACGATAAGACACACCAGTGTGTGTATTGTATAAATTCAGACCTAGTTCTGCTTTCACACTGCATGAAGTGAAACAATACAATTCATGCCCCTGCTGTCTTTTTGTTTTAACTGTAGATCCAAGTGCAACATTTGTATTGTGCTGATCTCATGCACCTCTGTTCACTGTTCTTACCTGCTATGCTTTCTTCATTGATATGACACTTATCTAGTCATCCTACATTAGAAATTCTGATATTGACTAAGTGTGCCTGTGCTGTTCAACAAAATGGTTTGTTTTCTAATGTAAAATTTCCAGCGCCTTATTACAGTTACTAATTTGAGCAGATGTGGTAGATGGGGTGAGGGTGTCAGCATCTTTTTGTTTTTAAACTGTTCAGTTACTGGTTCATGAAGAATGCATAGTTTGTTAATCTGTGATGTTGCTTAGAGCTGTATTTAATATTGATCTTAATGTTTTTATTTATAATAGTGTGGTAGAGTTGCATATCATTACAGTAAAAACGGATTACTGTGATGATTCAATCAAACATATTAAAAATTTCTGTATGACCATTTTTTTGTTTGACTTTTAATTCATGTGCTAGCAAATATTATTCACATTGCTTTTCCCCTCTGAAATTTATGTGACTATGTAGGGAGTCTACCTCTGCACCAAAGGAAAATTAGCAGCAAGCAATTTTACCTATAGACAAACATCAACTAATTTGTAAACAAAAAGGCCACAAAAATAAGATTTCAGCAGCACAGTTCATCTGAGCTTGTTGCACTTTTGCAATTGCTTATGATTCAGCTAGCAAACAATTAAACACTAATGGATTTTCTTTGAAATTTTCATTTTTTAAAAAGTAATTTCTGCTTTTAAGTGGTAGAATGTTTTGGTTCCTGATTGTTGCTTTACTATGCAACCATCTAATTTTAACTGATGGCTTAAAGCCACATTCTGTATTTAAATAACTGCAGCTTCAATACTTCACTTTTAAACTACGTTAATTACAGTATTCATCATGTGGCAGAAACTGGGGCATCTGCTATTCAGCCATGCTAACCAACTATTACTTCTCTTCAATTTTCAATTTTAATTTATTGGTTCAACTTTATAGATGTTTCTTATTCCTCTTGAGGGCAAAGCTTTTGTCAATATACTTTATTGTACAACAAACATTTAGGGCTATTAATTAACTTTACCATAAAGAAAATAGGAAAATGTATATTAAGGCCCACTCCCGCAAAGACTTAAGCACATGTTTAACTTTACACACTGTGTAGTCCCACTGAACAGTATGTAAAGTTAAGCATCTGAGTAAATCTTTTTCAGAATTGGAGCCTGAAATGTACCTTTCTGAAAAGTCAGCCAAAGTCTGCCTGTCTTACATCATCTGTGTGTGCACAAAATGAACAATTCTGACCCCATGCAGAAGCCCATGAACACTTGCATACACATGAATATTTAAGATGTATATTTATATGTTGACAAGTGACCATAAAAAATTTGATGTTCCATGTTCACTCTTAGTGATTTCCATATAAAATTCTCACTTTTAGGAAAGAAACAGTTACATTTCCTAGTGCACAAAACTCATCTTGCAATCTGAAAGTTGAGCTGCTTTTGCTGACTAGCACATTACCATAGTACTAAGTAATTTTCTAATTACAGATTCTATCAATGATGTGCAAGCTGCTCTAGGATCCTTCTCACTCCCTCATAGCTGCATTGGTTTGACACAGGTAAGAGTACAAACTTATTTTAGTCACAACTTAACTAATTAGAGAATTTTATAATAGGTTTTGGCAAACGGGGGCTACTTCTTAACTAAAGTTGTAGTGTGGCTTTAGCATTAACCCCAGCAGTGTATTTGAAATAGACTTTACTGGTAAACTTGTGCTTTCTCTGTTGCCATTGCCAAATACTGTAGATTCAAACATCATTATTCTTGTATTTGTGTTCCTTTTTAAAAGGTTTCAGCTTATTTACAATAGTGGAACCCTACCATATAAGCAGATGAGGTTTAGCAGATGAGGCAAAAGTTAATTCTAATCACATTTGTGCATCTGCATAGTCAATGAAGTGAGGATCCACAGAAGTGGCTCTGATTGCTGGATTGATACCTGTGTCTCTGTAGGGTTACCCAGTCCAATTACTGGGAAAAGACAACCACCTCGCATTTGTACTGTAGTAACCATACTGTGCATGTGCCTTTAGCAGATCACAGGGTTTTGGAAGAAAGGAGTGGGTGGAACTACATATTTCACAGAAGAAAGGGCTGGACATTTGACTTGGATATTGCAAAGGAAAAGAAATGTTCCTGACATTAGAATTGTAAAAATGTTAAGTGTTGGTTCTAAACCAGGGGTTCTCACAATACATTTTTTGGTGGCCTCAGAGTGCAGCCACCAACTCTTGCTTTTTCCACTGACACTTTTTCCTAAAATTATTTATTTTTCCTAAAGTTAATAAAGTAATATGCACATCTATACATCCAAATCATTGTAATTTATTTATGTATGCAAGGTTTTGGTGGGTTTTTTTTCTTTTTGCAGACTCAAAAATAATGCACAGTTATCTCTATTCTTGACTTGACCTAACAGCATAGAAACACAACTAAGATGCTTTGCACCTTCTTTTTTTTTTTTTTGTAAAAATGGTTGCCTGTACAACAATTCTGAAGTAAATTTAAAAATGCTTTGACATAATAGAAATCCAAATAATAATGAAAAACATCTGGGTGGCTTGGGTCTGGGGAAGGGAGGCCTGTAGCTCTTCTGGATGTGCGGGTGCACTCTAGGCTTCAGCCAGCCCAGAGCTCCACTGGGCTGGTGTGGGGGGGGGAGGAGAGGGGGGAGAGAATTCAGGGCTTCTCTGGGCAGGGGGCTCCAGGTACGGGGGAGCTCGGGGCTCTGGCTGCTGGGGGGAACACACAGGCAGAAGGGGTGGAGGTGGGGGCTAGCCTCCACAAAGAGGGGCTCTGCCCATGTGTCTGCCACTCACCACCTCATTCCCTGCCCATCTTCTGGGTCCCTCCACAGCCTGCCACCTGCTGCTCGCCTCCTCTCTCCCGTGCCACAGGTACCCTGCTGCCTGCAGTGAGAACTCCCACTTGCGGGTGGCTCACTGCTCACCTCAGTCCCCTGCTTTTAGCCAGACCCTCCCCTCCGCCCCCCTGCCTGCCTCCTTACTCCTCTGCCAGGGGTCCCCCCCTGCTTGCAGCCAGCCTCCCTCCTGCAGCTGGCTCACCAGTTGCCTCCTTGCTCCTCTGCCAGGCCCCAATCCTCTTGCCTCCTCACTGCTCATCACCTCACCCTCCTTCTTGCAGTTAACCTTGCTGCTTAAAGGGTTGTGTGTCCCACCTGTGTCTCCAGTGAGGTGGCCTATGCAAGAGCAACAGTGGAAGGGGAGGAGCTGATGCTCTTCTCTCCTCCCCCCTCCCCCCCCATGAAACTGCCCTGGCTGCAGGGAAACCCCTGGGTGGCTATATTTGAGAAACACGGTTCTAAACCATCACTAACAGAATCTCTGTTGAAATGGATGGTTTAACTGTAGATACTATTCCTGGATGAATGACTTAGTGCTCTTTTATTTTACACTTTTTCTGCTCCTGCACAAACTCTTGCTACTACAATGAGTTTCACAAGGTGGGGTTAGAGTGAGTTCAGTACCTTCCCTGGTAAGCAGTACCAGGGCAGAGTCACCGCAACTTGGGTCAGGCGTACACCTCTACAAAGGGAAACAACCCCCCCCCCCCCCATGTTGTGGCAAATTATCAGAAAGAAAGCTTTCCTAATTGACTGGCAGCTAACCAACCCCTGCCTTTAGTGAGTCATGGTGTTAGTTTTCCTAACTTTAAAGGGGCCAGGGTGCTGTGCTCAGAAAAGGCAGCAACAGCCAGCACGCAGTGCCATAGCAAATCCCTAATAGCTTTCCCATGAGTCTTGTTTCCTAAAACTGCCCTCAGATGAAGGAGGAGAGAAGCAGATGAAACCAGGGAATCAATGACAGCATGGGGGAACATTCAGACCTTAAAGGGAAAGGGTCTGGATCTTTGAAGGAGACGAGTATGTTGTTTTCTGGGCTATGGCTATGCAGTAACTAGGGCAACTGTCCATTTATACTGGAATCTTGTACAGACTGAAGAATCAAATTGCCTATGTACACAAACTTACAGTACCAACTCCTTGGATAGCATGACACTTCTACTGAGTGGACAAACCCAGCTCCCTTGCTGATGGTGGTAAGTGAATACTAAGAACAAAATTTTCTGCTACAAGATGTAGATACTGTTGTTAGACTATCACAAAACATTCAACATTGTTTTGAAAGAAAGGGTTAAAACATTTGTTACATGATGGAAAACAGTCCCCTGCTGTTATGAGATGTGCATTATACCCCCATCTAATGGAGAAGTCAGGTTGGACATGGGTACCTTTTTTTACTTTCCATAGCATGGCTCAGGCTTGAGTGAAGTTTAGGAATTGCTGTTTTAACTCTGCCAGAGCTAAAAATGCTGTTATTTTCTTGGGATACATAAAGAAAGCTAGCCTAGTTTATTTTAAAAAACATTTTATTTACCACACAAACATTACTTTATATTACTATTGGAAAACCCCCTACATCAGTTTAATGCCAAAAACAATTTTAACATCACTAATACTTGAAACATTATACTTAAGCCCTCTTCTCTTTGGATCATGCTGCTAGTTGGTCCACATTCTCTTCACTTCTGTTAGCTAAATGTGATTCAACAATCTCAGCAAAGAGGTTCCTTCTCAACAGGTTGTATGCAAGCGGTAACAGCTGACCAACAACCTTGTGAAAATACTGCAAATTATAGGGGGGAAAGTGAGTAAGTGAGCAGAGTTTGGCAGACAGAACAGCAACAATCATCTCTTCTGACTGTGAACACAGGCCCTAATCTATCATCTTCAAGAACTATTAACCTTGTCATATACAATGAGAGCCATAAAAAGAACAGGAGTACTTGTGGCACCTTAGAGACCAATGAGAGCCATGTAGCTTTCCTCTAGATCAGGCAGGATTGAATACAAGCTAAGGAACTATGGTTAAGGTTGCTCCTGTCTACCCCCACCCTTGTTCAAAGTGACACTTATTTAAAGTGGCAAAATCCAAACTATGACTTCACACTATTGTTCACAAGCATTGTTTCTGTCCATCCAGTTGGAACTTCACTCTAGTAAAGGGGGTATCAGAATTTGTATTTAGCACACTTGTTATTTTGTCACATCTATATTAAGAATAGACGTTTCCCTTTGGCAAGGACAACACAATTCAACACAGTTTACTCCTGTGGGCATTCTGCCCTAAAAAATGAAAAATTCTGTATACAAAACAACACTACATAATCATGCCAGTTTCAATTATTTTGAAATAAGTTACCAGAATACCTGTCAGCAAGTATGTCTGTAACAGTAGAGAGACACACAAATTCCCCTAGAAGTAGACTTAAATAAATGCCTATGACAACCCAGTTCCTGGTTCTTTGTCCCCTCCCCCCAGCCCAGCTAGGGGGCCAGACACCCACAACCCCTCCCCTCCAGCTCCCTGCACCCCCTCTCCTCCAGAGCCCAGCTATGGGGCCCCCTCCTTTCCCAGACAGGCACAGCTCAGGGATCCAGAGGGAGAGAGCCTGATCCTCGGTCCCAAGCTTGCACAGAGTTTCCTGTACGCCATCCTCTCCTTCCCTCAGGGTATACTGGGAACTGCAGCTGCCAGGAACCTGCCTCTAGCCCCAGCTCCTCCCCCATCCCCAGTTCTGCCCCCAGCTCCACCTTCAACCCAGGCTCCTTTGCTGAGCCAACTGTGCTGTAATGGAGGGGCAGGGGACAGGAGGCAGACAGATTCCATTACTGGTAAGGGATGGATGTGACACATACACACACACTCTCTCTCTCTCTATTTGGGCACCACTGCCTTAGTGCTAGGGAAAAAAGTCAATTAAGAAGAAATGCTAATTTTGGTGTTAATAGTGGGCTAGATTTACAAAGGCATTCAGGTGCCTAAAGATGTAGGTGCTTTTGTAAATCCCATCTATCTGCATTTTTAGGTGCCTATCTGCACAATGGACTGTATATATTGCCAAGTCACATGTACTACATTTGCTAAGTTAGTGATATTGGACAGCGAGAACACTCTCAAACAAAAACACCAGACGGCCTCACTGAATATGAATAAGCCATTAAGCAACTACAAACTGAGGGCCTATTGTATCTTCTGTAACATAGCAACCAATGATGTCAACTTGAGGTTTTTTGACAAGAATAAAGCCCCCCAAATTAAGTCCTGCTCTACCCCAAAAGACAACTTTTAAGTGTACGTTTTAGTACTTACATGTGACCCATAGCAAAAGAGGTCCATTCCCAGTTCATACCCCATTCCGTAATCACATTCATCATTAGCAAACTGAACAAAAGTGATCATTTCCTGAATGGGTGCAAAGGCTTTCAGTCTCTGGTCATCGCTAGGAGCATCCACAATGGCCTTACAAATTCTTTTAAGATTAGCTGTAATTATAAATAAAGAAAAGTAAATTCCACACTGATGTTATTTAAAATGTGAACTCATTCATTGCATCTGAATTAGGTATGTACCAACTTCGGCCATAGAAAGCACAATGATCTTTTTCACTCAAGCAGCACAATGAATCCTAAAATACGGGGTTATAGGAAAAGAGTCTGGTTTTGGAGTTGTGGGTGGAAACAGTTGAGAACTTACTCGCTCTGGAACAGGGGTACTTCAGGTTATTCTCAGAAGTTAGAGCAATACTGCAAAGTGCTGCCTTTTGAAGATTCAGTATACATGTTGAGTGAAATTGTGTGTCATAAAGAAGTCTTATGGCACTTAAACCTGCTCTTGTTTATTATCAGATGAAATCAAATGGTTTCCTCAGTAATACATTTATGATGCAGTCAGCTTCAATTGCTCGTTTCAGGAGAGTTTTCAGTATTCACTGGACTATGGTTTTCATCCAATTAAAACAAAATGTTGATTCAAACCAAAATTACATATTCAAGTGTTATGACAATAAAAGATCAGCTGTTTTCTGTTCCCCACAATATTGTTAATACTCTTACCTAGTATAAATGCAGTCTAGATTTTGCATCAGCCAGCAGAAGTGTTTGAGTGCAACTTGACTAAAACAGAAGAAGGATCTGAACAAGGATGCTTTTACTTTAAAAAAATTTAAAAAACAGTTTACCATTTGTTTCAGGGAGCTCTCTGTACCCAACATCATTTTTATCTACAGGCACAACCAGACCTGCTCCATGAAATGTCTTAGTCACTACCTGAATAAAGGAAAGAAAAAATGGTGCATCATGGTAAGAACACAGTAACATCAGCTACATAAGATACCACCTTGCTCCTGCTATACCCCCACATTACCCCCAATCATCAACCAGAAGATAAACTAACTTTGTGTCCTGGAGCCTGAATTTCCAGATACTAAGTCACATAGTGTTCACTCTTGCCTCCAAATCTAATAATTACAACCCCTGCAGCATTTTACATCTACCCAACTGTAAACCCTACAGTGATGGAACATTCTAATTGGTGGACTGGGGTGGGGGGAGCAGGGAGGGATTCTTACAATCACTGAAGGAAGGCAATGCTAATCTAAATGCATGCTACAACAATTTGTTCCTTTTGACAGACTATACAACAAGCCACATTGCTACTGGCTCTTATCCCCTTATAGGCATTTTCAGTTTTGTTAAAAGAAAAATGACCACCAGGTCTATGTATGTATTTGTTAAGTTTTTTCCAGTATCTCAATTTACTGTTACCCCAGTTTCTTGATTGTGCACCCTAGCTCTTAAACCTTTATTAGGTGAGGAGGGGTGTGTCAGGAGAAAGGCTTCATAAAGTCAGCACTGCTCAGTCTATCATTGGGAGGGGGCAGTGGGGTGAGAAGAAAGGGTGGGGGGAATTTGGGATGTGCAGGGCTGGGGCAGCCAGAGAAAGAGGCAACTTTCCCCAGCTCCAGGGCTGCAGTTGCCAGAGAGAGACATCCCTCCTTCCCCTCCTCAGCTCTTTGGCAGGGGAGAGATCCCCCTCCTTTCCAGCCCCAGCTCAGGAGCTACCGTGGCAGGGAAGAGACCCCCCCCCCCCCCCGCCCCAGCTCAGGGGCTGCTGCGGCGGGGAGGAGGTGGCACATCTATCGCATTAGAAAGGTAAGACTACTGATTAAAATATGAGCTGTGTGCTTTTATTTGTAGACCAAAATAAACGTTGTTTATTAAGGTGGGTTTTTTTTAACTATAGTGCTTTTATCTAAAGTGCTTTACAATAGTTAGCTAATAGTACAAACAACATTTGGAAAGATCATTAAGTGGTCCGCGGAGACCCTCAGCAATTTAAGTGGTCCACAAAAAAGAGTTTGAGAACCACTGCTCTAAGGGAAGAATATCTGACCCTGGGTAAATAGAGACCGGTACTTCATGCTATTCCAGAAGGCTTAGCAAGTTCTTCAGGTAATACCACCACTTGTTTTGTAGGTTCTCTCCTAACTACCAGGTATCCAATTTGACCCTTTTTTCTACAGCCGTGGGTGAATATCAGTTACCCCATCAACATGTACAAACATCCTGACTCCCTCGCCTTTTCTTTTCAGTGTGCTCTTTAGCTCAATTTAGAACTTCTTGTCTCCATTAGACTAGAAGCAAGAAACCAGGCTGTTTTACATCATTCCACATTTGCATTGCTATACCATGCTGACTCAGTCTAAATAATCAAAATCCATGTGCATTGTTCTTCATTTGGTCTGCCTCCACTTCTAGTGTCTTTTGCAAACTTGACATCTCACTTGCAGTAGCCTCAAATTACTATTACCCTCTTGATCCAAAAACTGACCCATCAGGTATGCTAATTTTAGCTTGTTTCCAACTTGAAGAGTTTTTAATCTATACCTAATTTCTGCCCCTAAACATCCTTAGTCAAACCGACTTTTCCAAGTATTCTCACAGCATGTGCCTTAAGGCAGTTTGCCTCTCAAAATAAAGAGAGGTCTAAGAATTTCCTTGTTAAATAATGGAGGTTGATTTGACTTTGTCTAAAAGCTGAGGGACTGCTGACCAGTGGCTTTATAGTGTTCACCTATTTTCAGTTAACACACTGGTGGATATACTTTCTATTTCAAGTTTACACATATAGCAGACATGATTTTATATTATTTAGTTCATCTGTAGTACTTGGAAAAATTGATCAAATTTGAGATTATCCCTTCCCCCATACAGATAGCAGGTATCCAGTTAGAATTTCTCTACTCATGTTAGTAGCTCTTCATCATTGGCCTATTGAAGATATACATATAAAAAATTGCTGTTGTACTTCAGTAATTCTATACTTTATTTTCTTAGTGCAACCTTCAGTAAATGCCAGTTAAGTTAATGTCTGCTTTTAAAAATGGCAAGTTTAAATTGTAATATGATCCTCCTTTCACTGACAGAGGAACTACACATGGAGGTGCTGGTGGCTGTTTAAGCAGCAGGTACTCTCTCAAAAGGGACATTAGCATTGTTTCCCCAACACTGGAAGTTTATATAGCGCTTAAAGAACAAAAAACAAACAAAAAAAAAAAGGGTGGGCAGTTGGCTGGCTTACTTAGATGGGTCAGATCCTGCCATCCAGTAGACATCAGATGAAGAATGACCTCTGCACTACTCCTCCTTGAGCTAGTGGTAGATTGCACAGGGAATTTGGGTTTGTTTTTTTGGTAGTATGGAGGTTGGAATATGTAACAGGCTGGCTTGTCTTTGGGCTGGAGAGCCTGGGGCTAAACCAGCGCTGATTACAAGATGAGTAGAGCCCTGCACGAATACAAAGTTTGTATCCGCATCTAATCCACAAACATGGTCCACAGGGATAAAGCGATATTTGCAGGGCTCTAAAGTTGAGGCTTATCTGAGAGGAATCAGATGATTCCAACTTAAAATGCAGCAGGAAGTATGTGTGTGATTGAGAGAAGGAGCTGATACTGCCAACAGGCATGATAGTGAGCTGGGAAATGCTCAGAAGACAGAAGCCTGAAAAAGCCTGTAGCTGGCTGAAGAAGCAGCTGAAAGAGTAAGGCTGGCTCCTGCAGAAAAATTGAACTGTGAGCCAGCTCTAGGAAACAAGGCTGGGAACCCCCTTAACTAAGGGGAGAGAGACACTGAACTGGAGTTGTGGCCTGAAGGGCCAGTGTGTACTGGAGGACTGAATAAAACATTCCCCAGCTAGGATCCAGTTTAATCTTTGGACTGTGTAGAGTTTAAGGCACCTTGTGAAGGAGAAAACGGGAGTGGGGAGCTGCAGTAGCACTCTTGGTCAGGACAGGGTGCTCAGGAGGCAGTAAGCAGCCACCATGATACAGAGAGGTTCCTGTAACACTACATGGCATAACATTTCATAGGAAAGGTTGCCATCTATGCAGCCCATCTAGAATAAATAAATCACTGAGTTAGGACACAGTGACCAAAGCAGCCATAGAGGAATGCTAGAACTCTCCTCCAAAATAAGTGTATACTAAACAACCATTTTAGAATAATGGTGACATCATATGATGTCCACAGGAGGACATTTACATGCTGCCTTAGCAATCTGGTAGCAGTGAGCCACTATGTGTAGTATTAGAAGTGGATGGAGTTGATTTCCTGTACTGTTGAAAACTTCAGCCAACAGCCTCCACCTTTCAGGCACAGGAAGGAACAAGGGGAGCAACTCTTCAGACAATATCACCCCTTAGTCAATGCTCTGGAGATTGTGTCTTAGCTGAACAGGAAAGAAAGCTAAAGTGAATTAGTTTAGCTAGAGCAACTTTACCTAGTTGGTCAGAAAAAGAAAAAAAAGCCATACTTTCTTATCTCTTTGTTTCATCTTCATGGTTTTCTGTTCCAGCGAATAACCCAATTCTTTTGCTGTTCTTGTGAGGTTTTCATCTATGTCTTTCAAAATACCACTTTTCTTTTTATCTGTCAATTCCTTAAGCTTTTTTGACAAAAACAATCTGAAACACAAAGGAAGACTCATTACACAGCAGGTCACCTGTCTCAGGATCTAGAAAGTTTTGTTTTTTAAATTAAAAAAAAAAAAAAAAAAAAATCTAGTCCCCTAATCTCTTAGCCAAAAAATTTGCTAATCAATGATTATGTATGACCATTTCATACAAAAGATAGCTTTAACATGCTATTAGGTTACATTCAAGCACTCAAAAATTAGGAAATGCTAGAATTAAGGTTGCCTGTATAGTCTTGTGCACATGTATTATGATGCAGTCTTCAGTTATATTCTCATACTATTTCTACAGGACCTGTTCCTATAGGTGCACAGGGGCCGAAGAGTGCATATCAACTGAGGCAGCTGTGATTTTTTTTTTATTGTAATCATTCAATGAGTGGCTTCATGCCTTATTTGCTACATATAATCCAAACCCTGTCTGGAATACAAAGTTAAGCATTTTCTTCTGGTCTTTTCTATGATGCTTATCACTGGCTCAGAGTGCTTCACAAACATTAACTTTTTTTTCCTTCTCTCCCAGAGGTGTTGACATCCCTTGCAGTTGCGAGTGCTCCTGAAAATGAGGCCTTAAGTGTCTCAGGCTGATTATCCAGAAAATGAAGAACACACAACTGGGGTGTAACCTGACAAAATTTGTATGTAAGTGACTTGCTCATCATATGAAGTTGATGGCAGATGCAAGGCCAGAACTGAATTTTCTTATGCTGCATTCACCTGCCTTAGCCACCAGAGGGTGGCATATTTTGTTGCTTCTGGAGGCGGAGCACATTGCACACCCCAGAGGCTCCTTCCATTCCTCCAACTCCCTTCTCTCTGTAACCCCCTCACCCTTCCCCACATGTCAGCGGCTCTGTCCCCTCGTTTTCTTCCTCCCCTCATACCAGGGTCTTTCCCCAATCCCTTCTCTGCCACATGCTGGGGGTTGTGTCCCCTTTCTCCCTCCATGCCAGGGGTTCTGACTCTAAGAATGGTGGTGGGAGGGGAATGGATGGTATTTTTCTTTGTCGGACAGACAAGTCATTCAAGGTGTCACCATTTTATAACGGCATTGGCAGGAAAGGCAAGCTGAGATGGGGTATTCTTATGCTGGAAGGTGTTAATGGATGCCACCAATGGGTTTGTTTATCTATAGACACAGAGGTGGTTGAAGCTGCTGGGTCTGCTAACTCGATGTCCCCCATTTTCCTTTTCAGCTTCCCACTTTAATAGAGTTCTGCTCATCAATACATAAAACATTCCCTGAAATTTCAGAATTGATCGGATGTGGCATTCACAAGTTAACACACTACAGCCAAAAACCACTGAGCTCTCATTTTCCTCAGCCAACAAAACTATCCTGTCTCTTCCTGCAGTCCTCTGCCTCATCCTCTGTACATTTTCTAACTTCTAGAGTAAATGAAGCAGGAGACATTCAGACAGCCTCATTCAGTCCATAACTGAGATTCAGTCCCTGAGCTCCAACTATCCTGTGCACTGAGTAAGGCCGAATTTTCGTGGGGAAAAAAAATACAGGTAATACATGATCATATAGAGACAGTATCATGATGCACACAAAGGGGCCAAATGAAGGTTGTGAATGCAATCTTCATTTTGGCATTATCTCCCCTGAGTGCTTGATTGTGCAAACTAAAGAACTTTTTTTTTTAAAATGTAGTTTTTGAATGTAGCTTCCTTTAAAAGGAAATGAAATGCAAATTCTGTCATGCACAACTGTAAAAATGCTGCCATCATGCATTGCCACTAAGGTTTGAACCATGGATGTTCAGCACAGACTTCTACCACTTGAGCTATGGGACTTTATTAGCTGACAGCAGGAGAAGGCTATTTTCAGTGAACCTGCCATTAGGAAGAACATGCATGACAATGAAACAGTGGGTTATTTTTGCATAAGTAGCCTCATTTAAAATAAATCATAGTCAAGGACAAAAGACAGGAGATTGAGAGGCAATACATCTAAATGGATAGAATTTGGGTCTGCCATAGTAGAGAACTGGATTCTAGTTTCAGAATATGTAACTCTGTGAGGTATGAGGTGTTGATATTAACAAAAGTTGCAACAGGTGAAGACTTAACACCAGTAACAGAAATGAGTCTAGCATTCATGCTAGCTGAGAACCAGGACATTTGTCTTTCTCTTCGAGAGGTCTCATTTAGCTCTGAGCAGCTAAGGGGCCTCTGTTCCATCCGGTAACCCAATAGACTAAGGTGATGTGGGCAGAGAAGCCTCACCTCTCCCCACCCAACCGATGCAGTTGCTTTGGCAGCAGCTAGCTGAGTCTCTGCACTGGAGAGTTCCCAGTGCAGCATATGCTGCTGCCAAAGTAGCCACCCAGCCTTAAAACGTTTAGGGGTTTTGGTATGCTGCTAAAATTAAACAGTAACAATGTAAGACATAGCACAGAAATGGAGATTTTTCAACAGTTTGTCAGCCAAATCTGAACAGTAATTCATGGCATTGTCCCCTGCCAAAGACAGGAGCCCTGCTGCAAAAGGTCACAAGACCAATTAACAGAAAGTGTTAGGCAACAAAACACAGGGATCACTGCTGGCTTTCCCTATAACATTTTAGCCATTATTGTCCCCGTGTGTTGCTTCAAGTACATTATTTCATTTAAATTATTATATAAAAATATAAGCTCAAGGAACCCCCAGATCATCTAGTCTGACCTCCTGTATATAAAACAGGCGACCACCACCTAGCCCCTGCACAATAAACCCCAAGAACTGAAGTATTACAGCTCACAGGAGACTAACCTATCATGTGTCACAGGGAGAGACTAGGAGGAACTGAGATGCACCAATGCCTGAGGCCCCTGCAATGGCAGGGAATTGGTTAAGTGAGATATACCCAGATAATCCTGTCAAGTGACCCACACCCCATTGGAAGGTGGAAAAAAAACCAACCCAAGGCCACTGCTAATCTGGTTCCTTCCTAAACCCCACATAGGGAAATCAGACTCTGAGCAAGACCCAGCCAGCCATTCTGGAGAAAAAAAGAATGATTGGTTCCACTTCAGAGCACTGCTACACTCCATTCAGTGTCCCATCTCCAGCTATGGCCATCTCTGATGTGGCGACCTAAAGGAGTCTCTTCCTTTTCAGAGACACAATATACTGGTAGCATTTCTAACTCATTCCATGAGCACAGGTATCAGCAAAGAAAGGCTTCTAGTGAGAAAAATTAAAGGTGGCTGAAAGGGTGTCCTGTTTTCTTCAAGCCATGTCATACCATTTTTAACCCCACAGAAAAGAAAATATAAAAGACAGGTATCTACAGAAGTATAAAATTTAAGATCTATTTTTAAATTAAAAATATATTTTCAGGATGCTTTACATATGTGGATTCTTACCACCACATCTGCTCTCTAGAAAAAGACTGGCTATTATTTTTAAGCATTATTAATTAATAAGTCATGGTGTTTAACATCTAGAATAAATGTTGCCATTAAAAAGGTATTTAAAGTTAATGAGCATGAGTAAACAAGTCATCATTCAATTAAGTGAAAATAGAACAATGCACAAATAAACCCACACTGCAATAATAGTTTACAGCTAAAGAACTCAACACACTGTAATCAGTTAGAAACAGAATAACTAACAAGAACATGGATGTCTGAAACATATCAAAAGGGAGGACCATGACTAAGGTGTTTATAGTCCAAGCATAGTACATTTGAAAAACTAAAGGCAACCTCAAAGGCTCAGAGCTCTAAAGCAAAGTAAGCTCCTAACCCAAGAATGGGAACCTACCAAGACTTTGGAGGAAGTGTGGCCAGAACACAAAATACATCTTCATTTGGATACGTCCCTGCCCAACCATCTGTTGCATAAACTAAGTGTTCTGTTTAGGTGTCCGAGGAACAGTGTCCTTTCAGTACATACCTATACTTCTTGCCGATGTGCACCACTGCCTATAAAGCTTTAAGTTTTAATTTTACCTAGTTTTCCCTAACTTTTATTTCAGGAAGGTCAAAAGATATCTACTGTTCCATCTCGTGGATATTATGCTAGAGCAATTAAAACCTTGTGGATCTCCCATTAATTGCAAAAGAAAGCTATCCTGTCCCAGCTTAGTAGTGACAGTTTTTATTTGTTAGTTCTGTTTTAGAATGACAAATGTCCTCGCCAACATTTAAAAGTCACTTGTATAAGGTAGAGATGGACACTCTTGGTTTAGTAAAACATTCTTCATATGAATTCTTTTCACCATTGTGTTTCATCCCCCTTCAAAAGTTCATTTCAAAATGCAACCTGCAATCATTCTGACAAACTACAATCTTTTTTTAAAATCATGGCTTCTGTTAATGCCTCTATCATCATTTTCTGCTGAAATGCTCTATTCCTACAGAAACACATACTGGACTTTATAAAGAAAAGCAACCCTGGCTATTTTAGTACAACCACAAAGTTCAAGACTGGTCAGCCAATTTACTCTGGGTCTAGTAATCTTATGAAAGGTATCCATATTTGTAGAGGTTTCTCTAGTATTATTTTCAAAGTAAAAAACCTACACAGGTGTGTGAGTGAGTGAGAGATAGAAGAACAGTGCCAGCTGCCACAACTCACCAACCTTCAAAAGCAGAGGAAGATTAGAATTCTGACCCTTTCCAAATCGTCGAAAATTGGAAGGGGGCAGAAACGAGGAGAGAGTTGAAACAATCAATCAGAAATGTACTTAAACAAGTAGTTAAGGTATTTCACATTGGTACTTTTTTGTGGCTTAGAGGAAAACGAATTGCATTTACACTTCTATCCTGATATAACGCGACCCAATAAAACACGAATTCGGACAGAACACAGTAAAGCAGCGCTCCAGGGGGGGGCAGGGCTGCGCACTCCAGTGGATCAAAGCAAGTTCGATATAACGCGGTTTCACCTATAACGCAGTAAGATTTTTTGGCTCCCGAGGACAGTGTTATATCGGGGTAGAGGTGTAGTTAGGAAACAGAAGTTGTAAACCTTACTTGACTGCAGCAAATACATTGTCACCAATCTGAGAAATTACACAGCTTTTCTTTGCTTCGTTTGCACCAACCCACGTTGGAAGTTCATCTGGCACATCCCTATAAAACAAGATGTATACAAACAGTAGGGTTTCTCTCTTTAAAGTGAAGTTAGCATGCACAAGAGATGCTGAATGGAGCACTGGAGCCTGAAGTCTTACATTTTAACTGCCCAGTGATAAATGTAACCTCTCCTTACTTCCATGGGCCTTTCTAGGCACCCCACACACACTTCAGTCTCCAATCCTTTGCCTCTCAGAGAATGCCAGCTAGAATGATTAATTCTTCACTACAAACAGCAGAGACCACCAAGAGCTTAAATTCAGTATTGAATCACACTAGATTCACATGCACAACTTTAAGTATTTGAATACAGAATAATTATATCAGAGCCACTTCTTTAGCTGGAGCAGCAAAGAGATCTTGACAAGAAGTGGCTCTGTACAGAAGAAATAAGGCAGAAGCATATATTTCCAGTGTTGCCAGGTAGACTCAAGTATAGAAAAGGAAAAACAAAAAACACACACAGTTCTCTTCCCCATTGTCCAATCCCAGGAGCAGATAACCATTTGCTCCAGGACATCATGGCAGTAGTTAAAAACATCATTATGATTAAAACAGGGTTTGTTTGGTTTGTAAGATAGTCTTTAACCCTCATCCCCAGTCCTTCCAATATATTTTGCCCTATAATGTTAGCTACTAAAAATGACAACTGAAGTGTCATCTATCTGACTGAGGGAGGTAATAAGTAGAGGTTCTATCATCTGACAATGGTGCAGAGTTCTTACATTACATACATCAGTGGAAATGGAGAAAAAGATAAGGACCATATATAAAATGCAATACCTGAAATATCCCATGTGATACTGAGTTTTGCTATCCCCAGCAATTATAGTCTGAAATTCAGGAGGATCATAAAAAAACCTCCAGTGAAGGTTGAAGTTCAGATCTGCTGATTTTGTTTTTTTGTGTTTTCCAGCAAGAATATCATATGGTCCAACTAGCTGAAGTCCAATACTTGATAGGAGTGCTTCTGCAAAACAAAATCATCAACTGTGACATTTTCTCGTGCATGCAGGAAGCAAGATCTCAGCCATAAGGCATTTCCATTTCCAAATGGAAAGCTGACATGAACAAAACTGAAGCTGTGCTTATTATAGCACATTTCAAATTCACATTGCTTAGGTATCACACAGCAAGTCTAAAAGCCAAATAATCAGACCCCAAACTCATGCTTATTCTCCCTCATACAAGATACTCTAACCCAGGGGTTGGCAACCTATGGCACGCGAGGCAATTTTTGATGGCACACGGCAGCGGGCTGAGCGGCTCAGCATACCACCACTCTGGGGTTCCGGCTGCTGCCCCGTTGCCAGCCGGGGTCCCGGCCACCGGCCCCACTCAGCGCCCGCTGCTGGCCTGGGGACCCCCAAGGAACCCCAGGCTGGCAGCGGGCTGAGCAGGCCGGCGGCCGAGCCCCCGGCTGGCAGAAGCCGGTGGCCGGAACCCCAGAGCAGTGGCGGGCTGAGCCGCTCAGCCCGCTGGCAATCTGGGGTCCCAGCCGCTGGCCACGCTCAGCCAGCAGCCAGCCTGGGGTTCCATTCACTCAGCCAGCAGCGGGCTGAGCGGGCCGGTGGGGGGCTGAGTGGCTCAGTCCACTGCCCAGCAGCACTCCGCCTGCTGCCGGTCTAGGGTTCCGGCTGCCGGCCCCTTGCCGGTCGGGGTCCCAGCTGCTGGCTCCGCTCAGCCTCCTGGGTGAGCAGAACCCGAGGGTGGTAGCGGGCTGAAGGGGGCTAGCGGCCGGGATCCCAGCTGGCAGGAGCTGGTGGATGGAACCCCAGACTGCCAGCGGGCTGAGCAGCTCAGCCCGCTGCCAGTCTGGGGTCCCTGCCACCGGCCCCACTCAGCCCGCCGCCGGCCCCGCTCAGCCCAGACCGGCAGAGGGCTGAGTAGGGGCTGGGATCCTTGTCTGGGGTTCCAGCCCCGCTCAGCCCGCCGCCGGCTGGAACCTCAGACAAGGATCCCAGGCAAGGATCACACTAAATTGATCAGATCTGCATTTTAATTTTGTTTCAAATGAAGCTTCTTAAATATTTTAAAAACCCTTATTTACTTTAAATACAACAATAGTTTATTTATATAATATAGACATAGAGAGAGACCTTCTACAAATGTTAAAATGTATTACTGGCACGGGAAACCTTAAATTACAGTGAACTTGTAATTTGTGAATTTTAAATTACAGTGAACTTGGCACACCACTTCTGAAAGGTTACCGACCCCTGCTCTAACCTGTGCATTTAAAGCTTTTAGTACTCAGATTCAGACAGTTTTCCTTTCACAAAGATATGTTGCCCTAACACTTTTTTTGCAAAAATAACCTGTTTTTATTTGCCTCTAGCAATCTCTACTGATTTATTTTAAGTTGTTGTTTCTAGACCAAAACATCTAGAAACAGTCTGTTTTAGGAGACAGATTTTTCCCCCCATACCCAAACAGCCCCTAGCCAACCTGAAAAAATATTTATGAAAAGGCTACATGTCTGAAAGCTAAAAGTAAATCCTAAACATTAAAAATAAGTTTACTCATTCTTTTCAAGGTCAGATATTAAGAGCGTTCTTGAATTAATCTTAACTTCTTCACTCTCAAATAGGTCAGTTTCATAACAATCTGCAAATTGAAGCGGACAAACACGTGCACACACAGCTTTAAATAGAGATGTGTTCTGTAGTCTGATACACCTTTTGCCCAGCCTAAAGTTATACCAAAGTTGGGGAAACACTAGCCTGTCTCTAAACTGGAAAAATCATTCCAAAAGCTTCCCATTTGCCTTTGTCACTAAACGGCCTTCAGATTGCTTTTGAAAACTCAAGTTAAGCCATACAGCATGCAGAAGTTCTCTTTTTTAGAACCCACCACTTGGCTTGTCAGGCTTCAGCTCCTCACAGAACTTCCAGAACTGATAAAAGTCTTCAGGCATCCTGAGCCGATAGCAACTTTCTACTTCTTGACGCAGCTGATCAGGAACATCTGCCTGGTTGGACCGTCTCTTCTTGACTTCTTTAGTTTTTTCACACTGCAAGTAAACAGCAACGAAATGCACACACGTTAATTCTAGGGAGTGAGTTAACAGGACGCTGCGAATTCGGAGCGTAGGCGAGTGAGTTCTCTGGGGATTAAAAAGGCGTTGTACGCACAGGTTAGGGATTTCACAGGTTTTTGGTTGGGTGCAAGTTTCCAGACGCACACAGAGGGGGTCAAGGCCACGCGGACGGTAAAGGCTCCAGAGGACCTGCAGAAGTAGGTCTAATGGACTCCGGGAAATTCTCGTCCCACCTCTGCAACCTCATAACAGCCGCTGACAGGGCGCGGAAGAGGCCAGCAGGTAGCAGGCGCGGGGCTGCATGGCACAGCCTGGAGCAGCGGCCTTGCAGATCAGCCCGCCCCGCCGGCGGCACCGAGACCTGCTCCGAGCAGCGACAGCGCCATGGCGAGGACCGAGGAGCCCCGTCTATGGCCCGGCCAGTGACAGCAGCCGCCTCCTCCCAGCGCCCGCGGGCCGCTCTCCCTGGGCTGTGCCCGGGAGCAGGCCCGGCTCCCACGCGTCCCGTGGCAGGGCTGCCCCAGCTCGCCGCTCGCGGCCGGTACCTGCTCCCCGGCGCGGGGTCGCCGCTTCCCGCCTCCTGTCATGTTTCTGCCGGCAGCATCCCGCCCCGCCCCCGCCGGGCACTTCCGAGGGCATGACCGGATGACGTCACCGCGTCAGAGCGCGAGGGCACCGCCCCTTCCTTGCGGCGTGCGGGAGAGCCCGGCCCTGCCTTTGGTCTCCGCCAGGCGGCGCTAGGGGACTCAGGGCGGAGGCTGGGCTTGATTATCGCTCACGGTCCCTTCCAGCCCTACAGCTTTAGGGTCTAAGAGTCCCACACAGGGCCGGCTCCAGCATTTCTGCTGCCCCAAGCAAAAAAAAACTGCAATCACGATTGGCGGCAGCAATTGGGGAAAAAAAAGCCGCGATCGGCGGCGGCAGTTCGGCAGCAGGTCCTTCGCTCCTAGAGGGAGTGAGGGACCTGCTGCCCCCGAATTGCCACATGTGCCACCCCTCTCCCTTGGCCGCCCCAAGCACCTGCTTGTTAAGCTGGTGCCTGGAGCCGGCCCTGGTTCCACAGCCTAGGACCAGGTTTGAAAACATTATTTCTTTACCAGTTTTGATTTTCCACCTATAATTTAATTCAGCTGCACCCGCCTCCCCCCCATCCCCCGTTCTTATGTTACAGGTCAGGGACAGATGTACCAGTCATGTTATCTACAGTACTTTTATCATGTCCCCTCTTATTCCACTTTCAAATGAAAAGATTGGGATTATTTACATTAGCATGTGCTCACTGCACTTCTCTGAACCTCCTCTAATTCTGCATGGCTAGTTTTAGGAAAATGTACTATCTTTGCACCTTCCCAAGTTGTGCTGTGGTTAGCTTAGGCATGGCCCACAATCTGTCCTATACCTTTTAGAATGTATTTTCCTACCATATTAGAAGCTGAGAGATCTTAGTTCCACAGATGTCTTCACTAAAGCCCTCTTCTGTTAGCTATTTCCTCTGTTTTGGTTATAGTAGTTACACAAGATGTAAGGCACAAGTGCTTTTTATTTGCATATGGATAACACTTAGGCAAAACATGCCATACAAGTGGCAAGTCTTAAAATGCTTTCCATAGAGTCATTGTCCCCATTATCTAAGTGGAGAAATGAAGGATACACAGCATGTCAGTGGCTGAGCAAGAATAGAATCCCCCATCTCCTGGCTCCAAGGCCAGGCCCATGTCCACTGTACCACACTGCCTCCTTATAAAGAAAAAAAAAGAAAAAAAGTGGAAGAGTACAATTCCTATGCATTACATTTTCCAAACAGTATATGGCAACAGGATGAGAGTGAGAGACAAAGCACCTAGCATTGGCAGACAAGATACTGGGCTAGATGGACCTTTGGTCTGACCCAGTATGGCCATTCTTATGTTCTTAAAGTCTAGTCTAGAACTTGGGAGATCCAGGTTCATTTCCATGCATTGCCAAAGGCCTCTTGTATGACCAGTCACTTTAGGTGAGTCACCTAGGATCTCTGTGCCTCAGCTTCCCATCTGTCAACTAGAGATAGTAGTACTTCCCCTACCTCACAGGAATGAGGCCAGGATAAATACATTAAAAACATTGTGAGTTGACTATGGTAATAAGTATCTAAAATAGATCAATGGGCTGTACTGAATGATCATTCAGCACGATCTCTGGAAAGCAGTTTGTTTTTTGGGCAGCAAGTCAACACGAAGTGTTAGTGCCATCTGTATCAATCAAAATGCTCTCATCTTTAGAATCCCAGTTTCTAAGAAGAATACCAATTTTATATGGATAGAATCTGGGGAGGAGTAACAATGAGATTATGGCTTTGACTCACTGAGGCTGATGAGAGATTAGTAAAGATGAATCTGTTGTAAACTCTAATTATTAGATCTTGTTCATGAGGATAAGTCACAAAAACATTTTAGATTAAGTACAGTTAAAAAAGGATCATTCACAATCTAAGAAAATGCCATCCATAATAATCTGATGATGTAGCAAGATTTAAGGGAATGAAATTTGCATTTTTTATTTATACTGATTCAGAAATGATTGTTGTCAAGATAATTGATCTTATAGCAATATTGAAAACCTTTGTACTCAATCCTACTCTGAATGGCCAGTCTGGAGCTTTTGCTATGGAGTATCAGTACACTAAGACTCCAGTGAGGGTCAAGTCACATTCACAGGAGATGTGAAGATACTGAAACAAAAAGGAGGAGTTTCTATTAGAAACACTACATTTCCTAAAGGCTATTTTGAACAGTCATTCTTATTAAAAATATTAACTAGGAATCTGTTTCTTTTCATTGTAGCATCTTGGCCGAGATCAGTGATATGTGCTGAGAAAAAAAAAAAGAATTTTCATAGTACACAGCATTGGGGTGTGATACTTTGGATGCGAGTTAACACAATTCTATGCTACAATTCTGCCTTTCCCTGAAGATCATTACAGCAGGTTCTCTGGAGAAACCTTTCAAGAGTTGAGAGGGGCCTGAATCAAACCTTTGCCTATGGCTGTTAACTGAATTTGGTAGATCTGGGGTAGTGGGGGCAGGAGTTGTAATCCAAACTCTGGTCTGAATTGTGTATCTGCCTACTATCTTTGACTTGGATCATCCACAACCTCAGATTTCTTTCACCAAGTTTCCTCTGAACTCTTCGGCCATGTTTGAGTGTAGGTTGGGAAGAAGCACCAAATCACATGGCTCCCTGGCATCATAACTCAACTGTAGTTATACTGCCAGGAAGTTCTGTACTTGTGGCCTGTCCCAGGGACACACATTTAAGAGGAGGTTCCCCAATGTAGAGTGGGCTCTCTACAAGATGTAGTAGAACCAGAGCTTCATTAGCTCTTGGGTGGACTTACACATAATGAAACCCGAACACTTTTGGTATCCTCTATCCCTCTTCCTCCCAACATGCAGGCCTCCAGACTTGGGCCTGGTCTACACTATGAGTTTAATTCGAATTTAGCAGTGTTAAATCGAATTAACCCTGCACCTGTCCACACAACGAAGCCATTTATTTCGAAATAAAGGGCTCTTAAAATCGATTTCTGTACTCCTCCCCGACGAGTGGAGTAGCGCCTAAATCGATATTGCCATTTCGAATTAGGGTTAGTGTGGCCGCAATTCGATGGTATTGGCCTCCGGGAGCTATCCCACAGTGCACCATTGTGATCGCTCTGGACAGCAATCTGAACTCGGATGCACTGGCCAGGTAGACAGAAAAAGCCCCACGAACATTTGAATTTCATTTCCTGTTTGCCCAGCGTGGAGAGCACAGGTGACCACAGAGAGCTCATTAGCACAGGTAACCATGCAGGCCGATAATCGAAAAGGAGCACCAGCATGGACCGTACAGGAGGTATTGGATCTGATCGCTATATGGGGAGAGGATTCAGTGCTATCAGAACTTCGTTCAAAAAGACGAAGTGCCAAAACTTTTGAAAAAAATCTCCAAGGGCATGATGGAGAGAGGCCACAATAGGGACTCAGATCAGTGCCGCGTGAAAGTCAAGGAGCTCAGACAAGCCTATCAAAAACAAAGGAGGCAAACGGTCGCTCCGGGTCAGAGCCGCAGACATGCCGCTTCTACGCCGAGCTGCATGCAATTCTAGGGGGGGCCGCCACCACTACCCCACCTCTGACCGTGGATTCCGAGGCGGGGGTAATCTCATCAGCCACACCTGAGGATTCTGCAGACGGGGAAGAGGAGGAGGAGGACAAGCTTGCGGAGAGCACACAGCACTCCGTTCTCCCCAACGGGCAGGATCTTTTTCTCAGCCTGACTGAAGTACCCTCCCAAGCCAGTATCCGAGACCATGACCCCATGGAAGGGACCTCAAGTGAGTTTACCTTTTAAAATATAAAACTTGTTTTAAAAGCAAGCGTTTTTTAATGATTACTTTGCCCTGAGGACTTGGGATGCATTCGCAGCCAGTACAGCTACTGGAAAAGTCTGTTAACGTGTCTGGGGATGGAGCGGAAATCCTCCAGGGACATCTCCATGAAGCTCTCCTGGAGGTACTCCAAAAGCCTTTCCACAAGGTTTCTGGGCAGTGCAGCCTTATTCCGTCCTCCATGGTAGGACACTTGACCACGCCATGCTAGTAGCAAGTAATTTGGTATCATTGCATGACAAAGCCTGGCAGCGTATGGTCCTGGTGTTTGCTGGCATTCAAGCAACATCCGTTCTTTATCTCGCTGTGTAATCCTCAGGAGAGTGATATCGCTCATGGTAACCTGGTTGAAATACGGGAATTTAATTAAGGGGACAGAGGTGGCTGTTCCTACTGGGCTGTTTGCCTGTGGCTGAAAAGAAATCCTTCCCTGCAGTTAGCCAAGCGCGGAGGGGGAGGCGAGGGGGAATTGGCCCTGAGCTTTTTGCGTTTGGCTAGCAGGGATCTTCCCTGATACCAGCCATGCGGTGGGGGGGCAGGATAAAGCGATCATCCAGAGAATTGGATGGGGTGGGGGTTAGTTTGTTTTCTGCTGCTGAAGGTTAACAGGAAAACCACAGCACTCAACGGGCTTTGCTTGGTATGTGGGAAAGGAGGGTGCAGAAGCCAAAAGACAGTGGCTTACCATGGCCGCATGCAAGCCAAATTCTGTTGCCTGGACCTGCGTCTGTGATCTCTAGCAGCAAAGCCACAGGCACTCAATATTAAGAGGCAAAATGCAACCTTGCACAGAAATCACATGTGCTATGTAATGTGAATAGTGTTTTTTACCGTGAAAGAGTATAAGCATTGTTCTGTAAAATGTATCTTTTTACAAAATTCTCTCCTTTTTCCCCTCCCTCCAGCAGCTGCAAATTTTTCAAGCCTCCCTCCTCCGTCCCGAAGGCTATCTCAGATAAGGCGTCGGAAAAAGAGGACGCGAGACGAGATGTTCGCAGAAATCATGGAATCCACCCGTAGTGAAAGAGCTCATCTGAATGAGTGGAAGGACACGGTTTCAAAGTATAGGAAAGATGCCAGTGAACGTGAGGACAGGAGGGACCAACGTGAGGAGGGGAGAGATGCTCGAGATGAGAGGTGGCGGCAGGAAGATCAAAGGCGGCAGGATGCAACGCTGGGGCTGCTGCATGAGCAAACAGACATGCTCC